TTGGTGTTGAGCTTCACCACTGGCAAACCTACATCACATCCCAGCTATCATTTAACATCTATGATACTTTAAGAAAATGATTGTCTTTGAGCTTCAGTATTTCCATCTGTAAACTGGGTTAATAAATAGTGTTCATCTCTTAGAGTTGCTTTGAATATTAGAGATACCAAATGGAAAAGCCTTGGGAATTATGCCTGGTGTGCAGTAAGTACCCAATACATCCTAACTCGTAGTATTGATGCTGAGGCTAAGACTGCTTGGAGCCTGTCCGATGCTGTCTCATGAGTGGATGTGAGGGAAGAACTGTGGTACAGACAGAAGAGTCCAAGAAGACCTAGCTCTTCTTGCTAGGTTAGACTAAGCAAATCACTTGGAATCTCTGAGCCTTGATGGGGTTCGTTTTTCATTCATTCACTCATTTATTCACTCAACCTCAAAGGGCTACTCTAAGTTAGCCATACATGAGAATGCTTATTAAAATTCTTTGGTGCATTATGTATTCTTGTAACACAACACTTACTGAGCAGGTACTCTGCAGTGGGCTCTATGCTGGGCACGGGACAGAGAGGAGAGAGGAGTAAGACACAGTTGCCCCACCAGCAACACCTTCAGTTTAGTGGGGAGCCTGATCAGCAATTCAGTGATTACTGCATGATAAAGACATGTCCAGGGCCTTGGCTTCAGTGGTGAGGAGAAAGATTGGAAGCTTGAGGGCTGAATGAAGTTATGGAAGAGTTTATTTTCACCAGACAGACTTGAACTCCATATTCAAGGGGTAAGAAGGGAAGAAGTGGAAGATACCCTGAGGACAGAAGAGAGGAGAGGGGCTTCCCTGGAGGGTCAGTGGTTAAGACTCCACGCTTACAGTGCAGAGGGCGTGGGTTCAATCCTTGATAGGGGAACTAAGATCCCACAAGCTGCATGGTGTAGGGGAAAAAAAAAAAAAGAGGGAGTGGGGAGTGAAAAGAGAGACATCTCTTTTACTGGGACTCTTACTGGGAACAGAGGAAGGAAGATGAGCACAGCAGTCCATGTGTGGGGAGGGGGAAGTTCAAGGAGCTCTTGTCTACAGTGTTGACTCTCACAGCGGAGGAGCCGTGCTTTTTTCGGCAGAGAGCACAGGATGTCTGGCCTCTTCATCTCAGCCCTCTTTCCTGTTCCCTCCCCTGCTACTCAGAATAATAAGCCTTGCAGGGTGATTTAGCTGTGTTGGTCTTTTGCTTCTGTGTGGTGCTTTAGGCGCTGAGTCGTGTCTGACTCTTGCGGCCCCATGGACAGTAGCCTACCAGGCTCCTCTGGCCATGGGATTTTCCAGGCAAGAATACTTGAGTGGGTTGCCATTTCCTTCTCCAGGGGATCTTCCAGACCCAGGAATCGAACCCCAGTCTCCTGCATTTCAAGCAGATTCCTACATTGCAAACAGATTCTTTACCAACTGAGCTATGAGGGAAACCCACAGTCGTGTCCGACTGTTTGCAACCACATGGACTATACAGCCCATGGAATTCTCCAGGCCTGAATACTGGAGTGGGTAGCCTTTCCCTTCTCCAGGGGATCTTCCCAATCCAGGGATCAAACCCAGGTATCCCGCACTTCAGGCAGATTCTTTACCAGCTGAACCACAGGGGAAGCCCAAGAATACTGGAGTGGGTAGCTTATCCCTTCTCCAGCGGATCTTCCCAACCCAGAAATCAATCTGGAGTCTCTTGCATTGCAGGCAGATTCTTTATTGACTGAGCTATTCTTTACCATGAAGCCTCCAAAGCAGCAGAACCTTTCTCCTCTGGTTTCCAGAAACCCATTTGCTCCTGGTCTCACTCCATCCCTCTGCTTTTTATGTCTCCTTCACTGACACCAGTTATTCTGTCTGCCCCTCAGGATTCTATCTCATGCCCTTAGTAAAATTATCATCCCCATCTCTAGTTTCAATCCTTCCTCTGAGCACTCCCCTCTCGTTTCCAGTTGTTGACGACTGGGCATCTCTTCGTTTGTGAGTTTTCATGACATCCAAATGTGTTTATTGACTGTACCTCCCAACACCCCAACACTGTTGCTCCTTCCTCAGGATTTAGCAGCTTCAATGTAGTCATCATAGCTGAAACAACAAAAAGAAACCTTATAATTATTGTTGATTCCTCTGTCTCTCTCCACTTCCAGTTGGTTCTTAAGTCTGATTGATCTGTCTCTAGAAACATCTCTTTATCTCTTTTAAGACCTTCATTAGACAGTAAACTGATCTCCTCATCTTTCAGTCTTTTTCATCCTTTCTGCCCCTCCTTGAGGAGGTTGTTATTCCATCTTTCCTTTACTGGATGCTTTGGGGCCCAGTGTCAAAGAAGCTCTATTAGTTTACTTAAGTGATCTTAGGATACAAAATAGAAGAGCAGATCACAGTTCACATGATGGAGATAGAGCACCCTTGTAAAAGGTGAGAGGTTTGCGGGCAGCCCACACCAGCCTTTTCTACCCCTTAAGAATGACCACCCTGCGGCATTTGGGAAGGAGGAGCACAGGTCCATGAATGTCTTCCTGGCCACTGCTCCTCCAGGCTGCATTTTCCTCCTCACCCCTTTATTCTATCACAGGTCACCTCTCACCTCCTTCGCTCTCAGCTTCTCAATTCCACCCCACTGGACCATCTTCAACAGAACTCCCCTAAGGACTTTTACCGCACCCCCACAAGGGTTGTCTGGCCCAACCACAACAGAAGTCCATTTCCCAAAATCTGAGTTATTCTATCTAAAACAATGCTCTAAGAGTTCCAGAAATACATTCCAGGGTGGGCCCTGGAATTCCAAACCCAATTCCTATATAGAGGGCTCCCTGTGAACTTAGGGATGTTTCTCTAAGAGGGATGCCCAGTCTCTCTTCTGAGTATCCAGAGAGTGGCTATAGTAACACCAGTATAAATACTGATTTTCAGAGACACTACATTCACACCTCTAAGGAGGAAGAATGTTTCTTCCTGGCTGCTCTACAAGTTATGTTTTATTGTTGTTTAGTCACTAAGTCATGTCTGACTCGTGACACCATGGACTGTACCGGCCAGGCTCCTCTGTCCATGGCATTTCCCGAGGAAGAATACTGGAGTGGGTTGTCATTTCCTACTCCAGGGGGTCTTGCTGACACAGGTATCAAACCCAAGTCTCTTGTGTCTCCTGCATTGGCAGGTGGATTATTTACCACTGAGCCACCAGGGAAGCCCTACAATTTATGAGGCTTGTCTAATCTTCAAGTGAAGATTACCAGTGAAAATAGTAAAATGATCAACTGCCTGGATTTGCCTGAAAACCTTCCTGGGACCCCACATGTTCAGCTCTAACACCAGGAACGCCTCAGGCACAGCAGAACAAGTTGAGCATCCTGACGTGGTTAAGAGCATGCACTCCGGAGTCGGTCTGACTTCAAATCCAGGCCTGCCATTTAACAGCTGTAAAACTAGACTTAATCTCTCTGTGCCTCGCTTTCTTTTTCAGTAGAAGTAAGAAGATTGAAAAAATTAATACGTGAAAGCATTTAGAACTCTACCTGCAATAAGGTAAATGTCCAATAGGTGTCATCTATTTTTATGTTTATCAGTGTTAATTCCTCTTATCATCACACCTACCACCACCAAATGGTGCTCCCTAAGATTCCCTAAGAATCTGGGTAAGATGTGGGCCCAGTACTGAATCACACACCTTTTATTATCCTAATTATACAAAAACCAGGCCAAAGCTTTGAAATTAGTGCTCTTCAGAGCCCAGCTGACTAGCTTCCTACCACCTTCTCCCTTTTCCTCATTCACCTACTCAACAAGCAATGTTCTAACACCTCCTCTGTGCCTATGGTGGCTCTGTGCTTAGAGCTCCAGAGAACACAACAGAAGTGTGCTGTTACTCCTGCTCTCCCAGGACTCACATTCTGAAAGGAAAGCAAGCATTATCCACTGGGGCAAGTCCAGGCAAGAGGCCCCTCAGCCAGTCGAGAGGGTCTTAGAAAGAGATAAGTCTCTGTGGCCTGTGTTTTGTGTCCAAGAAGACAGAAGTTCTGCTCAGCAGCTTCCTCTATCCTTGACACAGAGTGTACCCCAGGCACAAAAGTGAGACCATCATTCCTCACTGGTTCTTCACTCCAATAAACCCCTACATGGTCATTCCCAGGTTTCTTAGACCAAACGTGGAGGCTTCCCAGGTGGTGCTAGTGGTAAAGAACCCACTTGCCAATGCAGGAGGTGTTAAGAGATGTGGGTTTGATCCCTGGGTTGGGAAGGTCCCCTGGAGAAGGGCATGGCAACCCACTCCAGTATTCTTGCCTAGAGAATCCCATGGACAGAGGAGCCTGGTAGTTTCCTCACTCCCAAGAACCCCTACTTGGTCCTTTCCAGATTTCTTAGACCAAAGATTCCTCATATACTTTTCTTCCTCCTAATCAAGGACCTTCTTCATTCTTTTTAGTGCCTCCGGGCCATCACTCCTTTTTCTTCTCTCCTACACCATACCTACTTTCCTCTGAACCTTTTTACTCAGCAATCGAATATCAGGAATATCACAGAAAGAATATCTTTTTTAAAAATTTATTTTCTAAAAAAAAAAAATTATTTTCTTTGGCTGTACTAAGTCTTAGTTGTGGTATATGGGATCTAGTTTCCAGACCAGGGATCAAACCTGGGACCCCTGCATTGGAAGCTCAGAGTCTTAGCCACTGGACCACCAGGGAAGTCCTGATAAACAGTATCTTGTAAGTTTACACCTCACGTACATAAGCTAAGAGCTCCCTGAAGACAAAGAATGTCTTTTTCATCTTTGTAGCTCCCATTACACCTGACACAATACCTGTCTATTCCCCCAGAGTGGCCAAGGTATGGCCATAGATATGGCCATAGATACATGAAGAAGTGGATCTTCATCACAAACCCCTCAGGGCCCAAAATAGCAATAGAAATCATTTTTCTTCCACTGACCATTTTGTTCTAACAGTCTCTGATCTCCACTTCTGGGGCCAGCCCAGGGCCAAAGTCAATGGGTGAGGATGGAAATACCAGCAGCTTTAACTCTTCCTATACCAATTTCTTCCTGGTGGGCTTTCCTGGATTGCCGGAATGGAGGCCCTTCTTGGTCCTACCTCTTACTTTCCTCTATGTGACCATCATCTCTGCCAACGCCCTGGTCATCCACACAGTGGCAGCCCAGCGGAGCCTGCACCAGCCGATGTATGTGCTCATTGCCCTGCTTCTGGCTGTTAACATCTGTGCTGCTACAGCAGTGATGCCCAAAATGCTGGAAGGCTTTGTGCATTATGCTAACCCCATATCACTGCATGGCTGCCTGGCCCAGATGTTCTTCATCTACTTCACTCTCCTTCTGGACTACAACCTCCTGCTGGCCATGGCCCTAGACCGCTATGTGGCCATCTGCCACCCACTCCGCTACAGTGACCTGATGACCTCCCGTTTGCTGGGTGTGCTGGCCTTTTTTGCCCTGACACGGAGCCTGGGAGTGGCGGTGCCCTTGGTGGTGCTAACCTCACGAGCTCGATTTTGCCGGACAGTGGTGATCCGACATTTCACCTGCGAGTACATTGCACTGCTGAGTATAGCTTGTGGAGACCTGACCTTCAACAACCATTTGGGACTGGCTATGCGGTTGGCCACTGTGAGCTTTGATCTAGCTTTGCTGGGGACCTCCTACACCCGCATCGTCTATGCTGCCTTCCGGATATCTTCTGGGGGAGCCCGAGCCAAGGCCTTGCACACGTGCAGCTCCCACTTACTGGTCATCCTCACCATCTACCTCTCTGGTCTCTCCACTTCGATTGTTTTCCGAGTAGCCAAGACTGTGTCTCAGGATGTCCAGAACCTCCTCAGTGCCATCTATTTGCTGCTCCCAGGAACCTTGAATCCAGTCATTTATGGGGTGAGGACCAGAGAGATCCGACAGCATATAGAAAAGACGTTCTGTGGAAAGGAACTAGCCCGGGAAGTTAGGGAGAAACCAGAGAGGCTGCAAAATGTAAGAGTGAAAGGGAAACTGCCAGGGTGGACTTCCTCAATATGGGAGATTGGGGCTTTGACCTCTGGGAACAAGAGATAAACAGACAGTACTGAGGGACACGCTGGAATTTCCTGAGATTACAGGCTTAACAGCAGGTTCACTGTTGGTAAACTAATCCTTTTTTAATCCTTAGAATGCTGTTTTTCAACCCAATAATAAAATTGTTTTTCCCTCTTTATCCCTGTTAGTTTCATTTCTCTGTTCTCTTCTCCCTGACTCCTGAGAAAGTCCCCAATAAATACCTGGATATATGGAGCTCTACTGGAAGTTATATAAAGTCATGCAGACGATCATTTGCCCTGAACACAGGTTGAAACAAGTAATACAGGACAGACCCTTCCCTGGTGCCCAATCTGTCCCAAATATGGCATGACTTGACATGAAATATCCAGGTCAGTCTTGACGCCTAGGTTCAGTCTAATGCAAGCACACAGGCTGGATTCCAGAGTTCCAGCAGTTCCAAACACAGGTGAGGCTCTGCCTGATATCCCCATGACAGGCACACAGGTCAGGCCTACCCCAGGTGTCCAGTCTAGCCAAAACAGTTCAAGTCCAGCCAGGGGGCCCAGCAGTCTGAGAGACACCCAAACCAGGTCTTCCCTTGGGACCCAATTTCATCCAAAGGCCAGACTAGGCTTTTATCTGTACTTGAGCTTGACCAAAACCCATTGGTCAGGACACTCTTCCCATAGTAGCCAGTGCGATTTATCTAAGTCACCCCTACTTGAAAGATCTCCATAACTGTCATCTATAGAATGGAGTGTCCTTCAGGGATGTCCTCAAAAGAGGTGTCCTGTACAGTGCAGAACCATCTGTAAACCACCCAAGTTTTCTCTTCCTCTGTCAACTGATTATATGGAATGTCCCATGAGGCCATGGGTGCAGGCTGGGAGAGAAGCAGGAGTGAGAACCATGGGCATTTGGGCCACTTCTTCAGGAGATTACTTGTGCATCCAGGGCCTGCTTGAGCCCAGGCTTGTATATACAACTTCTGTTTGATGATGCTACTATGGAATGCTACAATGCATGTCAACTTTAGGTTTAGTGGGCAGGTAATACCCAGTTCATGACAGCAGTTCAGGTTGCATAGGAACTTGATGGTCTTCGGTTAAGCAGTCTCAAGGCACAGTAAGTAGCAACCAAAAGCTCTCTCTCTCTCATGGGATCGAAAGAGGATGGTCAGATAGTTGAGTAGGTTGCATGACAGGCTGGACATTTGCAGAGCCTCCTTTGTTCTGGGCCCCGCTCAAAACTAGCAGCTTTTAGGGTCATATGGTAAATGGGTCAAAACAACACACTCAAATGAGGAGTATGTTACCATTTTGCCTCCAAAATCCAAAGAGGACCACTAGGCTTTATGACTCTCTTTTGGTGGTAAGAGGAGTCAGAACAATTTACCCCTCACCATAGAAGGAATATCTCAACATGCCTCATATCATTGACCCCTAGAAATTTCACTGATAGAAGTGCCTTAATTTTTGTCAGACTTATTGCTTACTTTCTGATACACAAATGTCGTACTGGTAAGTCTACAGTAGTTGCTTCTTTTCACTCACTAGGCCCAACCTATACCTCAATGTAATGGAGTGGTGTGATATACTGTGGAAAGGAAAAGTGATCAAGATGAACTATAAACTATGATACTGGGCTGGAGAGCAGATATATCCCCGAGGCAGAACACATACATGGTAACCCAGACCCTTGCCTCTTATATTTGATTAGGAATATCCAGTGATGGTATTCTGCATGTCTCTATTGCCACATCATCCCATGGGCTATCAGAGCTCTTTTCACTACTGAAAAGTCATGCTTAAATCTCATCAAATCAGACAACCAATTCGAGAAATTCATCCTTAGGATTCCATTCCAATAGAACCATTTTCATTACCAAAACCTTTATTAGTCAGGTCAGTTTATCAGTCATTCTCCAGAGAAAATAAGGTGTGTGTGTATACACACACACACACTATCTTATCTATATATCCCCTTGACTCTTGAACAATGCAAGGATTGGTTCTAGGACACACTAAGAATATGAAAATCCATGGATTTTCAAGTGCCATGATACATCCCTGGTTCCACATCCAGATTCAACCAATCACAGATTGTATCGTACTGCCATATTTACTGAAGAAATCAAAATATAAGTTGGCTCATGCACTTAAAACTCATGCTGTTCAATGGTCAACCATCTCTCTCCCCCCTCTCTATATATACACATATATAAAACTGTGGAACTGGGAAATCCAAAATAGGCAGAGTAAGTCACCAGGATGGGGACCCAGAGAAGAGCAGATATTGCAGATCAGTCCAATGGCAGTTTGGAGGCAGAAGTCTTTCTTTCTCAGGGGACCACAGTCTTCTTCCTCTTAAGGACTTTAACTGATTGGATGAGGCCACCCACATTTTGGAGGATGATCTGATTTACTCAGTCAATGAATTTAAATGCTAATTTCATCTAAAGATATACCTTCATAGTTCCATTTAGTGTTTGAACAAATATCTAGATACTATGGCCTAGCCAGCTGACACATAAAATCAACCATCACATTGCTTAGGCTCAGAGCAAGCCTAGAGAAGTATGAGAGTGTCCTAGCACAGAGCCAATCTGCAAAGACCTAGGAAAGCTATCAGACATTAACTGAACATACTCTGAAGAGCAGACTTCACTGCAAAAACATTTTGGAAATGTCTCAGAATGTTTCAACAACAAAAATCACAAGCATTATAAAGAAACAGAAAAACATTCAAAGGAACAAGATAAACTGACAAAAACCACTCCAGAGAAAACTCAGCCATCAGACTTTCTAGACAGACATTAAAACAACTGTCTTAAACATAACCGAAGAGCTAAAGGAAAACAATGTAGTAACAAAGATTTTGTAGCAACAAAATCAGACTATCAACAAAGACATAGAAATAATTAAAAGGAATCAAACATTCTAGAGCTGGAAAGAGCAATAAGTGAAATGAAAATTTCACTAGAGGGGCTCAATGGCAAAGTTGAAGAAGAAGAAAGAATAAATGAACTGGAAGATAAGACAACTGAGACTAGAGGAAAAAATAGAATGAAGAAAAGTGAATAAAGCCTAAAGGACCGTTGAGACACTAATAAAGTGGACTGATAAATGCAACATAGAAGTCCCAGAAGGAAAAGAGGGAAAGGGGCAAAATAATGATCTGAAGTAATAATGGCTGAAAACTTCCCCAATTTAACAAAAGATGTGAATCGATTATATCAAGCAGCTCAATAAAACCCTAGTTAGGATAAATTCAGGGACCCAGACCAAGACACATTAAATCAAAGTGTCAAAAGTCATTAGTACAGTTAAACAGAAGATTACCATATATTCCAATCATTGAACCTCTAATACATATCCAAAAGAACTGAAAGCAGGAATTCAAACAGACACTTGTGCATCAATGTTAACAGCAGCATTATTCACAATAGCCAAAATGTGGAAACAACCCAAATGTCCATTAAGAGATGAATGGATAAACAAAATGGGATATATATATATATATATATACACACACATATACAATGGGGTATTACTCAGCCTTAAAAAGATATGAAATTCTGATATATTATACATAAATGAACCTTGAAAACATTATGCTAAGTGAAATAAGCCAAATAGAAAAGGACACATATTAAGATCCCTTCTACTTGAGATACCCAGAATAAGCAAATTTTTTTTTTTAATTTTTACTAATGTTCTTTTTTTTTCTCCATTTATTTTTATTAGTTGGAGGCTAATTACTTTACAATATTGTAGTGGGTTTTGTCATACATTGACATGAATCAGCCATGGATTTACATGTATTCTCCATCCCGATCCTCCCTCCCACCTCCCTCTCCACCCGATCCCTCTGGGTCTTCCCAGTGCACCAGGCCCGAGCACTTGTCTCATGCATCCAACCTGGGCTAGTGATCTGTTTCACCCTAGATAATATACATGTTTCGATGCTGTTCTCTTGAAACATCCCACCCTCGCCTTCTCCCACAGAGTCCAAAAGTCTGTTCTGTACATCTGTGTCTCTTTTTCTGTTTTGCATATAGGGTTATCATTACATCTTTCTAAATTCCATATATATGTGTTAGTATACTGTAATGGTCTTTATCTTTCTGGCTTACTTCACTCTGTATAATGGGCTCCAGTTTCATCCATCTCATTAGAACTGATTCAAATGAATTCTTTTTAATGGCTGAGTAATATTACCACAGCTTCCTTGTCCATTCGTCTGCTGATGGGCATCTAGGTTGCTTCCATGTCCTGGCTATTATAAACAGTGCTGTGATGAACATTGGGGTGCTCTGGTTTCCTCGGTGTGTATGCCCAGAAGTGGGATTGCTGGGTCATATGGCAGTTCTATTTCCAGTTTTTTAAGAAATCTCCACACTGTTCTCCATAGCGGCTGTACTAGTTTGCATTCCCACCAACAGTGTAAAAGGGTTCAGAATAAGCAAATTTAGAGATAGAAAGTAGAATAGAAGTTACGAGGCAATGATAGGAGAAGAGGATTGGGAATTCACTGTTTTATATATAAACTTTCTGTCTGGGATGATGAAAAAGTTCTGGAAATAGATAGTGGTGATGGCTGTACTTTGTATATGTACTTAATATCACTAAATTGTATACTTTAAAATGGGTAAAATGGTAACATTTATTTATGCTTATTTTACCATAGCTTTCTAAAAAGAAGAAAAAGGCACATATTAAAATCAGAATTCTATATGGTGTCTAAGTAATTTGTCTTAAAATTTCTTCCCTGAACTCCCAAAGAATAAAAAATGCTTTTACAAATTTGACCTTTGAAAGAAAATAAGTGACAAATTAGTCTCACACAGTCATTTAGAAACGTTTATTATCTTTATTTCAGAATGACCTATTAAGACCTTACCCAGATAAAGGCCCCATCAGCACTTCTCACAGGTTATGACTCATTTTGCTTCTATGCACACACCAAAGTTTCCTTACCAAAACTGAAGTCACCAGAAAAGGGGTGCCAGATGGGTGATAAAAACCCTACTTAATCACTCCCTATTTGCACAATGACTTCTTTTGCATTCCTAAAACATCTACTTTGATTCCCAATATATCAATTTTAAAAAATCATTACTTTCACACTTATATAGAAACAGTACTTTAAACCAATTGATCTTTTTGCCGCAAAAAGGTCCAACAAAGCCTTACCACTTCAAGCAAACCTACTGCACCTATCTATGCTCAAGAAGTAGTTTGGCTGCTGAAGAAGTGCTGGTCTCTTCTAAGCCCTTCCTCAGGACCCACACATCAGACATTCATCTCTGTTCTCCAAAGAGCACACCATGGCTGCTGTGTTCCTCTCCTTCTCTTCTTCTTTTGATACCTTTTCCTTATCTTTCAGTTTTTCTTTATTTAGAGTGAACTGGATTGGATTAGCGGCTGGTCTTGTCCTTAAATAATACATCCCAGTTTTCAAACCCTAAAAGGGAAGTAAATACAACTAATTAGGAGAAGCTGTGAGAACATTAAACATTCAAGACCGATGTTTAAAATACATTTCCATAGATCAGGTCAAACTGCTTTCTAAATCTGGAATTCTATCTCCTCTAGAAAGCCACAGCTGTTTTTTTATTTGGGCTTCCCTGGTGGCTCAGATGGTAAAGAATCCGCCTGCAATGCGGGAGACCTGGGTTCAATCCCTGGGTTGGGAAGATCCCCTGGAGAAGGGAAAGGCTACCCACTCCAGTATTCTTGCCTGGAGAAGTCCGTGGACAAAGGAGGCTGCTGGGCTGCAGTCTATGGGGTCACAAACAGTCGGACACGACTGAGTGACTAGGCACAGCACACACACAGCACAGGAAGCCCTCTCAAAAACGCTTAAAGAGAGAGAAGGAAATAGCACACGCTATCCTTTTCACCACTAAAACAAAGCCTATTTCTTTCAAAATGTCAAATATTTTTTTGTTCTCTAGTCTTTTTTTGTTTGTTTACGTGTACGACTTCCAAGCATACCTAAGAAAACATGGCTGTTTTAGATTATAACTATTTAGAAGTCTAGATCGTTTCTCTGTATAAGAACAGATTACGACTATTTCATGGATAAGAACTGTCACCTTCTATTCAATACCCCTAGTCCTGGAACACAGTACAAGTTCAATTAAAAGTCTGTTAAATAAAAGGATAAAATTATAATCCTATATAAATACTTAGAATATTGTTAGGGAATAAGAATACATTATAGGGACTTCCCTGATGGTTCAGTGGTTAAGAATCTGCCTCACAATGCAGGAGACATGGGTCTGACCCCTGGTTCAGGAACTAAGACCCTTCATGCTGTGGAGCAACTAAGCCACAAGTACTGAACCTGCACACTGCAGAGTCCAAGCACCGCAACTAGGGGGTCTGCGTACCCCCACAAAAAAGATCCCGCATGCTGCAACTACGACCCAATGCAAGTCAAATAAATAAAAATAAATACACTTCTTTTAAAAAAAGAATACATTATAGATTCACAGGTCTTTATAGTTGGCAGTGACTAGCTAAATGATTGGCTTTTATCCTGTTTTAAAGCTGGGAAACAATGGATATTTTTGAATAGTGGGTTGATATATAGTTTTATTTTAGGAATGGTATTAGGACACAAGCTGGCCTAGAGTAGAGATACCAGAAGCAAAGAGATCAGTTAAGAACTGAAGAATAAAGGTGGAGGTGGCGATGGAAGAGAAAGAAAGGCATTCAAGAAATTGTACAAAGGAACAACCAACAACACGGTGAATGACTACATGGGAAGTAAAGGAAGGATCACAGATAACGCCTAAGAGGTTTCAAGCTTCAAATAAAATAATCCCACCCAAAATAAGAAAATTCAAAGTGATAACTTAATCTAGTATAAACCCATGCACTAGTTTTTAACATATTGGACTTAAAGTGAAAGAACTTCCAGGTGGCAATATTTAATAGGTAGCTAGAATATAAAACTCTGTTCCAATTCTAAAATATTCCAAGTTGGTTGACTTCCTCCACCAACCTGTTTCCAGCCGTAGAAGTGCATACTAGTGAGTTTGCCATAGTTAGGCTCAGCAATATGTATGTTCAAAGACTGGCTTTGATCAATGAAAGCGCCTCTCTCGGCTGCCATCTTGAGTACGGTTTTCTGAGAGATTTCCCACACAGTCTTATAAAGCTGCTTCAGGTCATCAGGAATTTCTGGTATGCTCTGAAGAAGGTAAAGCAGATGCTATTGTACTCTGGTTGAAGAAAACAGTATGATTAATAGAACAATGACCCCCAGGTCTAGCTGTGATTCTACTTCCAGTCAGATCTGATCCTAGCCATTCCATTTAATACAGTATGACGCTTATCAAGTTTCCTAAGAATACTCCCTTCCCGCTTACCAAGTCCAATAAAACCCCATATAACCAACAAAATATCAATCTGGTGGTAGCTATGTAAGATTCATCTTTAATTGGTTAATGGCCAAAACATTCACTGATTTAGAGGCACTTAATAAAGGAAGGACAGAGCAAAGCTAAGCAATAAATGACCCTTGAGTTTTGCAGAAAATACAAAAACTCAGGGCTGTAACTAACAGAAATATGACCCAAAGAAGCAATGAGACAAAAACCCTTTAAATATGGTAGGACTCCACAAACTCAACTTGAAGTCAATAGAAATAAGGCTTTCTTATTTCTTAGGTCGAGGGCTAACAAGCATCAAAACACAGACTGGCTAATGCTACAGTTTCCATCAGCAAATACAGAAATGTTACAGGAATCTTTATCTATGTTGCTGAGCAGACCAATATCTAATAAATGGCCTCTATCTACAAATAAATGCTTCCTGATTCTCAATTGCAAATATTTTATTGTTAAACACTATTTGTGGCTCTGTCTTTTGACCTATCAGTCTTCAATCTCCATCAAACTTTTTAATTAAGTTCGACTCTAATTTCAGGCTTTACATCACCGGTCTCCAAACTCTGATGCACTTTGGAATTACTAGAGAGTCTTTAAAAAATACTGATGCCTGAATTCTCATTCCCAGACATTTAATTGGTATGGGTACAACCTAAGTTTCAGCTTTAATAGCTCTTTAATGTATTCTAATGTGCAGAGAAGTTGGGAACCATTGCTTTACACTGCTGCACAAACAAGAAGGTAAGGCCTAGATATATGACCAGAGTGAACAGCCATTCTTTCTCTGTATTGCCTAGGATAATCGAGAAGGTACCAATGTTCAACTTAGCTCCTGAAGAGCACACTTTCTTTTTTTCGTCATTCTGTACCTGGATGGAGCCATTGCATGCAATAATCTGATTTTTCATCTCTTCGTTCCACAAGCCCCGCTCAGTAAGATCTTTCAGTAAGTGAGGATTTACAATCTGAAAGGAAAAGGAGAAAAAATGTGAAGGAATAAACAACAACAGGGCCTGAAGAGGATTACAGACTTGGAGTTTAACATTAGATTTCTTGGCAAATTCTATTTTTTATGAAACTGAGAGACATATCCCATCACATGAAAGCTATATTCCTCTAAAATCCTGATACCTGTTATTCAAAACATAACATACAGTACTTGCAAAGTGAAAGGAGCTAACTGCCTAAGCTGGGTATGTAGAATGATTCTTTTCTTGTTTTAAGTACTGACACAATAAACACTTGAGAAAATTATAAACGTACCCAACCCAAACTTTACAGAAATTTACTTCAGAATATTTGTAAATTCACAAATAAATATCTTTTAAATTAGTGGTTCTCAACCTGCACATGAGAATTACTTGGGAACCTCGAAAAAAAAAAAAAAAACACTGGTTCTTCCCATCAGAAATTCTAATTTGTAACCAAGGCTGAGAATCACTACCTTAAAAGATACTTCTATTCATCTTGAGTATCATCAACTTGAGCATTTGAGGCTATAGTATAGGTGTTATAGTTTAGCACACATAGTATAGCACAGTATATGACATACACTACATGATTAAAGAATGGTTACACATTACATGAACTCTAACATCAACAAGTTGCTTTCATACTCAACCCTCAATCCTTCATTTTTTTGACAGATATTTATAAAATGTCTATTATATGCTGAAATAACATAAATAATATTAGAGATGACAGCTCACTTTATCAAAACTTTGCCCCCATTCTAAGATAGAGGAGCATCCTAAATATGAGTAGCATTTACTCCTCTAACATCAGGCTTCTAAAAGACTTTTCAGTAGGTCTGGTTGTAATCTTCTCACCTGAAATTCTCCTGACAAGACTCTGCGAGTGTAGATGTTACTGGTATAAGGTTCAATTGATTCATTATTTCCCAATATCTGAGCAGTTGAAGCAGTAGGCATCGGGGCAATAAGTAAACTGTTTCTTATACCATACCTGAAGAAAAGGAGATTATTAGGTGCTGGTCCTTATGCTACTATCTGTCAGGAAGACAGCTACTTTAATCATTGTAGTAAAGCAGTTGCTGTAATACCATACACACACTACACTCACATGCTGACGTTTGCATTTAACCCCTACAGGGATGAACTCTACATTATGCCCCTCTCCTAAATGAATGACTGATTCCTAAACAGAATTAGCACAATTTTTACTGCTGACAATCTTTATCATGCCATGACTTACACCACTTAAGAATCACAGCACTTAATACACCATCTTGCCCAAGGAAACACTCAAATGGCTGTTGGAGAGTCCCCACCTGTTTCAGGTGCACTCATATAACCCTCACTCTTTTCTAAGAGGCTCTGTGATCACTCTGCTAGGCTCTTTAAGGAAACTAATGACGTGAAAGTGGCAAGAACCAAACATCTATCACCATAATTCTTCATTATACTGAATAGGATAATGAATAGAGAAAACGACGCTCAAAGTATAATATTCCTGACTTCCTCTATCACCTAATTAATTAAAGTTTCCAGAAGAATGCTAACACCTTTGACTCTATTCAGTGCCAAAGAGAGTGCTTAAAAATGTAGTACCTGAGCTCTGAAAAATCTTCAAACTGTGCTAAGCACATCTTTCAAAGCTCAGCCTAGGGACTTCCCTGGTGGTCCAGTGGTCAAGAATCTGCCTTCCAATGCAGGAGATGTGGGTCTGATCTCTGGTTGAGAAACTAAGATCCTATATGCCTCACGGCAACTAAGCCCACCTACCTCAATGAAGAACCAGCACAGCCAAAATAAATCAACAATAACAGTAGTAATAAAATAGTAATAATAAAAACCTCAGCTGAAGAAATACCTACGCTAAAACATCTTTCCTGACCAGGCTGACAACACTAAGTAAAACTGTCAAATACAAGTATTTGCATTGCAAATATTTTTTATGACCTGTACTTTTATGTATATTTTACTTGTATACATGTCTTACCTTAGTTTCTCAAGCACAAAGAGCTTGCCTTTGCTACATTCCATACCTCTAGATTCATACAGTACTTAGCATAGAGTCTCATAACCTAATGGAGTGTGTACAACTGAAATTTCAACTTCTCTGTGTCACTTTCTAGTTGTGAGACATCAAGTAAGCCACCAACTAGCTCCACGTCTTTATTCCCTCAGTAAAGTGGACAGTGGTTTCCTGTCCACAGATAGGAAAATGTTTTGAAAAGTCACATACATCCAAACTATGGAATCATCTGTAATCACTAAGAACATTAGGCAGATTTGCATGTACTAAATCTCCAAAATAAATCACTAAATTAAAAAGTCTCAGAATGTGTCAAGTTTGATCACATCTGCAAACAAACTGAAAAAGGTCTAGAAAACTATATACCATTCATGCTGGTGATCTCTGAGAAAAGAAGTAAGTTCGCTTTTTGTTTGTTTTATAGGACAAGTGGTTGGCAGAAGAGGTATAAAAAAGGGCTTTTACTTTCTATTTTATTTCCATACTTGAACTTTATTAAAAATGAATGTGTATTTATGTTGAAATTTTAATTGTGAAACTTTAAAAAGTTATACATAAAAACATTTAAACTACAGTATTTTGAGAAAAAAAAACAAAGTAAAAAATAGAGTTCGGGGCATTTTTGTAAAAATTGAATTTCCATGTAAACACACATATATATACAAACCCAGAAGAAAATCTGAGGATGACAGACAAAAAAATACAAACAGGTTTTTTAGGGGGATGTGGTACTGGGATAATTTTCATTTTACTCCCTTTTCACTTGTATGTTTTTCTAAATTGTCTAACATATATTATTTGAGCAATGAAACAATTTGAAGGTAAATGGCTATTTTTAAAGAGCATTTTAAAGCTACTGCTTCCTTCTGCAAACATTAAACCCTATGTATATTCATTAACCTGGACATGTCAGACAGTCATGACAGAAAGCAAAGCAACTTGTTTCATTATTGACTCAGCAAAACATTCTGCCTGCACTCAAATTTCTTATGTTTATTAATTGAAAAGGCCTACAAAGACTCAATTTTTACATTTTTCTTTTCAACAGTTTAATATATTAAACCCTCTAAAAGCTCTTTAAATTCCCTAATGTAGTCCTATGATAATCAATTCAGTGAGAACCATTTATGTGCCCAATGTAATTAAGCAATAAATAAAAGTGGAAAACATTTAAAAAGCAAACACACTTGGAAATATGAATGCTTAATGAGAAAAATAATTACCTGTTCTTGCTAGTTAAGCCCCTAAAACAAGATCAACTAATAATACCTACCAGGTATTAAAATGCTTTCATTGCAGGCTACTGTACATATACTGTCCTAGGAAGTATTTTCACAGTAACAGTTCTATAGACAGGTCCTTTTTGTCCCATTTAAAAGAGAAAAAGATGAATTTCAGAAGCCAAAATAACATACCTAAGTTCGAAAGAGCCAGGATGAAAACTTGAGCCCTCCTCACTTCAAAGCTACTTTACTTTACATCTCTACTTACTTTGCAATCTTCTCCTTGAGAAGGTTCCAGTCCCAAAGGTCTGTAGGAGTAACATTCCACATATCATACTGAAGGATCTAAGGAACAAACAACCCAAATTGATGATAAATCATTCGATGACCATCTGAAACTATGACAAAAACCAAGCAAGTGACTAACTGCCATGTCCCCATATCCCAACAAATGCTGTCTTGTAAGGAGTATAAGGCCCAGAGATTTTCCTAGACTAATTGCTATGTAGTCATATTGATTCAAAGCAGGCTGATTAAGGCTTACCTCTTCCCCATATCCCTGCTGAGTCCTCTCAGAAGACCCATATCATCTCTACAAACCAGGAAATTTTAACAAATGAAAGCATGTTGCTGAAATGTATTCTCTTTTTATACAATGAAAGAATGAAAGAATTACTCTACCCTCTACCTTCATCTTTCTTTACAGCTTTGATTTATCCTATCTCTAAATATTATCTACTTAGCTAATTAACGCCTATTTTCAAACAATGTAGAGCTCCTAAATATCAGCAGGAACTGTGAGAACTAAATCTAACATCTTATTTTACAGGGAAGAGAATCATCCTATGGGGGATAAAGGCAATGTAACGGCAGAATGCTAGGACAGCACTCAGAGTCCCACCTCCTGCGGTATATAGGCCCTCATACTCTCCTCCTCTTCAGTATATACAAGACCTGGAAACACGATGGATGTCACTCACACAATTGTGACAAATGTGAAGGGTTTCTGTAGATGCAATTAAGGTTGAGAATCAGTTTAATTTCTTAGCAGAAAGGGAGATTATCCTGGGTGGCCCTGACCTGACAAATGAAAATGCCCAAAATTGTGACTGGATTGGGCTCTTCTTGAAATGAGGGACTCTCCCTCCTACTGGCTTTGAAGAAGCAAGATGCCATGAGCTCTAGAACTGCAAGGAAATGAACAACCAGGTGAGCTTGGAGAAGGACTGAGCCTGAGATGAGACCACTGCCTCTACTGACATTTTGACTGTAGCTTTGAGAGACACAGAGATTAAGCTAACCTAAGTCTGCACTCCTGACCCATGGAAATTGATACTGAATTTATGTTGTTTTAATCTGCTAAGTTTAGTTATAGAAAACTAATACCCAAACTACCACACAATTGCACTCATCTCACACAATAGTAAAGTAATGCTCAAAATTTTCCAAGCCAGGCTTCAGCAATATGTGATCTGTGAACTTCCAGATGGTCAAGCTGGTTTTAGAAAAGGCAGAGGAACCAGAGATCAAATTGCCAACATTTGCTGGATCATTGAAAAAGCAAGAGAGTTCCAGAAAAACATCTATTTCTGCTTTATTGACTATGCCAAAGCCTTTGACTGTGTGGATCACAATAAACTGTGGAAAATTCTGAAAGAGATGGGAATACCAGACCATCTGACCTGCCTCTTGAGAAACCTGTATGCAGGTCAGGAAGCAAGTTAGAACTGGACATGGAACAACAGACTGGTTTGTTTTCCAAATAGGAAAAGGAATAGTCAAGGCTGTATACTGTCACCATGTTTATTCAACTTATATGCAGAGTACATCATGAGAAATGCTGGGCTGGAAGAAGCACAAGCTGGAATCAAGATTGCCAGGAGAAATATCAATCACCTCAGATATGCAGATGACATCACCCTTATGGCAGAAAATGAAGAAGAACTAAAGAGCCTCTTGATGAAAGTAAAAGAGGAGAGTGAAAAAGTTGGCTTAAAGCTCAACATTCAGAAAAGTAAGATCATGGCATCTGGTCCCATCACTTCATGGGAAATAGATGGGGAAACAGTGACTGACTTTATTTTGGGGGGCTCCAAAATCACTGCAGATGGTGATTGCAGCCATGAAATTAAAAGACGCTTACTACTTGGAAAGAAAGTTATGACCAACCTAGACGGCATATTAAAAAGCAGAGACATTACTTTGTCAACAAAGGTCCGTCTAGTTAAGGCTATGGTTTTCCCAGTAGTCATGTATGGATGTGACAGTTGGACTATAAAGAAAGCTGAGTGCAGAAGAATTGATGCTTTTGAACTGTGGTGTTGGAGAAGACTCTTGAGAGTCCCTTGGACTGCAAAGAGATCCAACTAGTCCATCCTAAAGGAGATCAGTCCTGGGTGTTTTCACTGGAAGGACTGATGTTGAAACTGAAACTCCAATACTTTGGCCACCTCATGTGAAGAGCTGACTCATTTGAAAAGACCCAGATGCTGGGAAAGATTGAGGGCAGGAGAAGAAGGGAACGAGAGAGGATGAGATGGTTGGATGGCATCACTGACTCAATGGACATGAGTTTGAATGGACTCCGGGAGTTGGTGATGGACAGGGAGGCCTGGCGTGCTGCAGCTCATGGGGTCGCAAAGAGTTAGACACAACCTAGCGACTGAACTGAACGAATACCTGGGAGTTCCCTGGTGATCTAGTAGTTAGCATTCAGTGTTTTTACTACTGTGGGCTCAGGATCCCTGGTCAGGGAACTAAGATCCTGCAAGCCATGCATGGCACCGCTCCCTTCCCCACCCATCCAAAGAGAAAAAAAAAACTAACTCAGCATTTTTCCCACATCTTTTAGCAACAATTAGTTTAAAATAAAACAGATTAAAATAGAATATACTTTTTACTCCAGAAGAAAAAAGGACCATAGGAGCGTCAGATGTCTGGTGTAACAAATTACAATTTTAGTGGCTTAAAATAACAAAAATTTATTCTCTTGCAGTCTTGGAGGCTGGAAGCCCAAACTCAGTATATTGGGAAGGTACCCTCCCTCCCCAGGCTCTAGAGGAGATGCTGTTCTTTGCCCCTCCCAGCTTCTAGTGGCTTCAGTTCTCCTGGGCTGTGGCTACATCTCTCCAACCTCTGCCTCTATGGTCCTGTTGCTTCTTCTTCTCTGTGTCTCTTATAAGGACAACCATCATTGAATTTAGGGCCCGGCCGGATAATCCAGGATAATCTCCTCAATTACATCTACAAAGACCCTTTTTAAACCAAATAATTTAACAGTCAGATGTTCCAGACATTAGGATGTGAACATCTTTTTGAAGGCTACCATTAAGCCTACTACAGGAACTCACAGGCAAAGAGAAATTTCATCCGTATACTTACTCCTTTGCTGACTGGAGAGCCCTCATAGGTTTCATAAGGGCCATACTCCTTGGCCAGGTCACAGCTGGCTTCCAAGGCTCCATAATAAATGGTTTCAAAGATCTGCTTATTCAATAACTGGGCCTCTGGACTCTCAAAAGGGTACCTCATCAGAATAAAAGCATCTGCCAGACCTTGTACCCCAATTCCAATGGGGCGATGACGTTTATTCGATAAGCTTGCCTTTGTGCCAACAGATTTAGAAAAGAAAGAGATGACATTAATCAACAGTAAAAGCAACATTCTGTACCAAATGACACACTCTCTCTCTATCTCAGTTTTCTCACACCATTCCAATGATAACCATTTACATGATGATTAGAAGACTATGATAAACTCCTTCCACCTTGGATTTCAACTATTACCAAAAGCAGAGAAATCTATTCATACCTCTGGGATAGGGTAGTAGTTAATATCAATAATTTTATTCAAGTTTCGGACAATGACTTTGGTGACTTCAGCCAACTTTGTAAAATCATATGTGTGTTCTGATGTGACATACATATTCAGGGCCAGGGAAGCCAAGTTACAGACTGCAACCTAGAATTTGAAGAAAAAGGGTCAAGAATCACACAATTTTTATTTCAGTGGCACTACCCTGTAAACCTCTAACACTTGCTGACATTAAAGTTTTCATTTCTATCTTTGACTGGTTTCTCTTCACCATTCACCAGTTTATTTCAAAATCCCAGGACCTATTCACATATGTAAACTGTTACATGCACCAATGAAACAGGTTAAGATGGGGGAAGAACCATATGCTCCATAGTACAAGGCTCTATTATCAGACATATGTCACACTGTGCTATAATTTTTTATGTATGTCAGTAGATATGCACTAATACAACAGCCACTAAATAAAAACATGAAATTTAAAATTCACTTTCTTAATTGCACTAGTTATATTTCAATTGCTCAGTAGCCACCCAATACAGAACATGTCTATCACTGTAAAAAGCTGTTCCAAATTACACGTCTACCTCATCCTCATTGAGACTCCAACAGCCCATAACAACGGATCCAAGTATGAATTTTAAAAAAGCTCTTTAGGTGATTCTTACTACACTAAGTGGTGAACTTTTTCAGGTTAGGGATCATATCTTTTTTATCCTTACATTTTCAGGATTAGCACCACCACACCTGGCATATAGCAAATGCTTAATAATATTGAATGAATATACTTCCTTTGCCATTTTGATTACAACTATCCCAATCCAAACTCTCAATTCCTCTCACTTAAACTCCCTCATGTCCTTCATACCTAATCAATTCTACACATGGTGACAAAGTACCCATTTTTAAAACACAGCTCGAATCACATAAGCCTGATAAAAGCAAAGGAGAAAAATAAGGCAGGAAATTGGGGCTAAGGATGGAAGGAGTGCCATTTTTCAATAGAGTCATCAAGGGAGACACCACTGAGAATGTGACATATGAAGAAAGAACTGAAGAAGTCAGAAAGAAAGTCACATGGCTCTCTGGGGAAAAGAGCATTTTACCACTCAAAACTCCTGCAACAGGAGTATGCTTGATATGTTTGAGAAATGGTAATGAAATTAGCAGGGTTGGGGTACAGTAAGCAAGGGGAAAAATAAGAACAGGTGAGGTGGGATACTCAGTTGTGTACCATCTCACAGGGCATTCATTATAAGGACAGAAATGAGGTAATAATATATACTACAGCATGGACAACTGACACAAAAGGCCCAATATTACATGATTCCATTCATATGGAATGCCCATAATAGACAAATCCAGAGACATAACATAGATTAGTGTTGCCAGGGGCTAGGTGAAGTGGGGAACAGACAGTGAATGCTAACAAGTACAAGGTTTCTTTCTGGGGTGATGACAATGTTCTAGAATTAGTTATCATTGATAGTTGTACAACCTTATGAAAATACTAATAAAAAATCATGGAATTGTATCCTTTAGAAGGGCGAAATTTACGGTATGTGACTTATATCTCAATTTTTAAAAAATGAACAAACTCTGGATGGGTGGGAAAGTCAAAGATAAGTATTGTGCAGAGAATGGTATGATCTGATTTTTTGTTTTTAAAAAAGGTCATTTTATTCTCTGTAATACAGTCTATCTTATATAACAATATAAGTATATGTCAATTTCCTCCAACAGAACTGTAAGTTTCTAGAGGGCAGGGACTAAGCCACATTCATTTATATCTCAGAGCACCACGTCCAGTGTCTTACACATGCTTGGTGGTCAGTAAACTTTGTTAAATCAAACTGCAAGCTCAGCAGTATGTTCAGCTCACTTACCATTTTCTTTGACTTTTCATCTGTCATGTTTTTAAGTCCTAGAATTCAGGATATCTTCCTTCCTCCTCATTTTCACAGCTTACATGCAATATCCACACAGTCTGTCATCTGACTAACGCAACAATCTCCATAAAGTAACCTACAACTGCTTCTCACACTAAGCCATTCTATAACCAGAATGAAGAGGTATCCTTCCCTTCCTAGCAATGCTATTTTCCTTTCAGAAATCTACAAGGGCTTTCATGTGTCTGAGATATGCCAGCTTTCACGTACTTTCTCTCTTCCCTCAACCATAGCCATCCCTCCATACGTCAAACCTTAATGTATCTGCTCCATCACAATAAACTTACTTTTCACTCCCTACACAAAACCTATCCTTGTCTGACCTGTCATACTGGTGGTTCTTCCCAAATAGAAAACTTTTTCATAAACTTCTTTTTAAAATAACCAAATCTACATCTCATTTCCTGTCTTGCCTCTTCTGTGAGTGGCCTTAAAGATTTGAGATGAGAATTTTGTCTCACATTCACTGAAAGGACTCTCATGCTTACATACTTTAAACTGAATGTGCACTCTAACACGTTACCATGTTTGTCCTCACTCTAACATTTAATAATTATGTATTGCTATTTTTCTCAAGAAAAAATTATTACAACAATGTGTGTGTAAGAAAAAGTTGACAATCTTTTCTATATGGCTTAGACTAAAAGATTTTTAAGGGCACACATCACACCTCTTCCTTCCTTTATAATCTGTCTATTTCAGTGCCCTTCTGCTTACAGTAAGCTATGAACACTCCCTTCACTCAACTCAAGGGAAACCAAACTAGAGATTCATAAACAATTCACAAACTCCTAAGATTCTTCTCTCAGTACCCAAGACAGAAGTTCTTCTACCTACCTCATCTTTGCTGGTATATTCCACTATTTCTGTGCACAAGTTGCTGCATTTGATGGTTCCCAAGTTCTGCTGGTTGCTCTTCCGATTACAGGAATCTTTGTACAGCATGTATGGGGTACCTGTCTCTGTCTGAGACTCAATGATGGCATACCAAAGCTGCTGAGCTTTTATAACTTTGCGGACACGACCTTCTTTCTCATACCTGGAAGGCAAAGCTAGTATTATTTTAATATTCCCTAAGAAAATTTTTATTGCAGACAACATGAAGAGAAACACCAAAATATAAAATGTTGAAAGCCTTTAAATTTTTACTAAGTTTTGCTAAGGGAAAAAAATTAGGAATATGATACACACTTTACTATGGCTAAAGCCAGACCCACTAATCAATAATACCTTCCATAATAAAAAGGAACAAAGACAGAAATAGTTAAATAGTGCCAGCTACAGCAGTACTCTGGTGCTATTACTTAATGAACTAATGACACCTGCATCCCAGTTGCTCTCAATTCCTGTGTACAATACAAAAGCATGACTTGCTTTATCAAATGTACTTTATAACAAAGCAAATCAATAACCCTGCTAAATAACTCTGCATTAATTTTTTAGAGGATCTATTAAAAACATGATTTAACTTGAACACCTATTTACATGTCCCAAAGATTTTTGTTCTGTTTTTTAATAATTATATTTTGTTATATTAAAAAAGAAATATTTCCAGGGCCCAGCTGGTCTGCTACTGCACAGAAAGGGTTAACTTTCATCATTCAATCATCAGGGTACCGGGATGCAGGTGGTACGGGATGCGGGTGGTACTGGTACAGAGGCAGCCTGGGAAGAGGGAGGGCGCTGACCAACAGAGGGACAAGCCAATGTGTAACTGGGGCCCTCCAAAACAGAAAAAGGGGAGGGTGCCTGTCAGAGACAGAACCAGTGCTGTTCCCCCTGTGTCTAATGCTCTGAAGTATTCTGTCATTTCAGACACCTCTATGAGGTTCCAACGTCAGGATCCATCCTTTCCTCACAGTCCCAGCACATTCAACTCACAACCCAGCTTTTAAGGAGCAGCCCCTCCCCAAGTAAGAGGAAAGCTGGAGGTCCTTCCTGAGAGGAGGGTATTCTGGGGATGAGCCACTTTTGGGGTCCCCCTTCAGTCTCTAACCAGGCGGTAAATGTGGTGCTGGGCACCCCGCTCACTGGTGAAAACCTCGAAGATGTAGGTGGTGCAGAGCAGCAGTTCCTAGGTGTCTCTGGTTGCCACCACCCAGAGGATGGTGAAGTTCTCCAGGATGCTGTTCATCACATGGCACTCCAGCAGCTGCCACAGCTAGTGCAGAAAATTCACCAGGTGCTTGCACATGGGAGAGTGCAACATGTGGTACACAAACCTCCCATCCTCCAGCAGGGCATGTTCCGTCTCCACCTTCTCCACCACCTGCTTGCCAAAGGAGTAGACCTTGAAGGAACAGGCGAGAGTCATGTGCTCCAGGCGAGATCTCATATAGGCTGCTCTCTCCACAGAAGCCACTGCTGCCGCCGGCGGCTCCACCTCCTCACCACTTGGCCCTAGGTCAGGTCCACCCAGAACCTGACCAGGAAGAAAGTGTGGGTGGCCCCATGGTCATACAGCTCCCATAGCCCTTCTTTTTTCAGGGAATTTGTCATAGGTCTGTCAGATGTCCACACTCTCGAGGCAGGGCACTCCAGGGTTGGGGCAGAGTGCAGGCTGATGTGTACAAACAGGTGCTGTGACCGAGCAGTGCCCAGAGTCCAAGCCTACCAGGCTGGCAGTGATGCGGCAGGTGGGAGCAAAGCAAGGGGCGAGAGGGCTTGGGAAGCTCATATCCTGGCAGAGCAGTAGATGGAGGAGTCAGTGACAAGGAGAACAGTGTCTTTGAGAAAGGTTTCACATCTGGAACATTCGAGGAGGGCCCAGAAGCCCCGACCAAAACTGGAAAGGTTCTGGGGCCTGAGGACTGGTGGGACCCAGTCTAGCCTGCAGGGAAGGTGCTGAGATGAGCTGGGCAAAGGACACAGTAGTCATTGTCTGGAAAGCCTTGTCCTTGGAAACCTGGTCCATATTCAGCGCCTTGAGCATCAACTGGATTTCCCCAGATTTCCCTTGGGCCAAAGCCTGGACATGACTAGAGACTGTTTGTGAGTTTAGGTCTTCCACGTTCCCAATCTGATGTTGCAGACAATCAGTTTATCACAACCATACAACTTGCCTCCATTGAGCAGGATTTTCCTCTGGCCACAGGGTAGGTAAGTGGCCGTGGCCTCCTAGAAATTCTGCTCGATGTCTGTACTCCAGAAACCTTCTGTGTCTGTCAGGGCCCTCATCGCCCCCCAACCCCCTCACTGCCCTCCTCGCTTCCTTCCGTAGTTCCTGTCCAGCCACTGCCACTGGGGGTGTTCCCCTACCTGGGCATCCTGGCCAGGGGGCTGGGGGTAGGTTTGTCATGAGTAATGTTTTTGGCCACGCCATGCAGCATGCTGGATCTTAGTTCCCCAGTCAGGGATCAAACCTGTGGCCCCTGCAGTGGTAGAGTGGAGTCTTAACCACCGGACAGCTAGGGATGTCCCTCCAAAGTTTTAAGAAAGACAAACCAAAATTTTGGTGAAGATTCAGGAAGAAAACATACTACAACAAAATTACTAGTCACATTCTCTTCTAGATGCTTCTGAAGAATCCTAGAAACTGGCTAATGATTGACACAGTTTTGAAATTTACATCCTGTAAATAAAAGAAACAAGGTTAAAACATTATTACTTTTATATTTGTCCCATACCTTTCATATAGCTTCTCAAATTCTTCTCCCCAGACCTCATCCAGACCAGGACACTCATTTGGACACATCAAAGACCAGTCCTGCAAAGTGAAGAAGAGTACCAACTATAAGAAATTTCAAATAACGAGTCACACATGGTCCATTAGGAATACTGCAAGGGAGAGGGTGGCCTCCATAGACTGTCTTAAAATTCTGCTTCAGAAATAATATTTAGGCTCAAGTCCAAACATCTAGTTCTGCCTATTTGTTCATGACTTCTCAAGCATTTAGAGCATCTGCTTTAGAGAATAAAAATCCAAGAAGGCGAGAATGGCATTTCTTGCTCAGCATGCCTCGCTGTTGCATAACATATAGGCAGATTCTTCATAAGCATGATTTAAGATGACTGAGGAGAAAACTCATATGAATCAAGTTGTTATTACTAACAAGTACCTATCTCTCACCTGATTAGTCTCCACTCGCTTCATGAAGAGATCTGGAATCCAAAGGGCAAAGAAAAGGTCCCTGGCACGCTGCTCTTCCTTTCCTGTGTTCTTCTTTAAATCAAGGAACTCAAAGATGTCTAAATGCCAAGGTTCCAGGTAAATAGCAAATGCCCCAGGTCGCTAAGGGTAAATAAACCATCATTCTTTTCAGAATCAGAATGAAATAAAGGAACTTCATATTTTCCAAAGCACTTCAATAATATCTTCTTGGATCTTCATTATAATTAATGAATTACATGAGATAATACAAATAAAAGTACTATAAAAAAATAAAGTAGCAGTATTTTTCTTACAATCCTAGGTGTAAAAAAGAACAATTAACACAAAGAAAATGTGGAACAAGAAAGAATAAATAATTTATCCAACATGAGACACAGTGAACTAAAGATGGAGCTTCCTCTTCAGCTGTCATGCAGCTCACTTTACACTCTGTGATATGTATGTAAAGCCCAAAAAATTGCTTTAACTTTGACAGTAAGTTGTGCTTTTACTAAAGATCACAGAAAGGTGGTATGTCTTATCAAGGTCCTCACAGATTCCATTAGATGGGCTAGATGGCTGCAATGTATCCTGCTGATAACATTAGAAAAATGGCCCAATACTCTCTATTTTCCCTCTATAATACAGGCCAAGTTTTGCTATTTGCCTTTTTTTTTTTTTAAATAAAAACCTAGAAAACACATTACAACCCCTTTTCAAGGTTGAGTATTAATATGTGCTTAATCATTCAAGACATGTCCAACTCTTTATGACCCCATGGACTACAGCCTGCCAGGCTCCTATGTCTATGGGGATTCTCCAGGCAAGAATGCTGGAGTGGGTTGCCATGCCCTTCTCCAAGGTATCAATATGAGTCACTACTTTAGAAATGCCTTGCAAATAAACTGTCTTGTAAGAAAGCTGACTAGATCACTGGCTGCCTGGAGCCAAGGATAAAGTATGTATGTGTAGGAGTGATGGATGATTAATACAAAGGAAACACATTGGTGTGGCAATGTTTTATGGCTTGACTGGTGTGATTACACAAGTATATAATCATCAAACTGTATACTTCAAGTGTCTATACTTTAAAATAAGTAAAAATTATACACATTATATTGATCATAAAAGTGGAAGAGTTGTTAGAAACATACACAGTGAGCTATCTTATTATAAGTTTATATGAGATTTTCATTTCTGATTTCTAGGACTTTCAATCACAAAGCATACCTTGTTTCCACCTTGATCCACATATCGAGCTGTGTTGTTATATACTCTCAGCATTGGTACAAGACCATTGGAATTGCCATTAGTCTGAAAAAGAAAACAGGATAAAGGCATCTGGAGGAGCAAGAGGGGGTCAGCAAGGAAAAGAAGAAAATGGGTCAACAGCAGGAAAATTACTCTCTCCCAGTCTAGCTTCATCCGCTCATCTCCACCTCTGCTTTGAAAACATAATGCCCAACATAAAATAAAACTGTGGAATAAATTACAAATATGTACAACATTATTTCATGGCATCTCTAGCTTACGATAAGAAATAACAACTATAAGTCAAATGAATCCAAAATCAGGATAGCTGAATTTAAACCCCATACTTTCAAAAGGTCATCATATAATGAAATAATTTGGGTACAGTAAAATCCCTACTATAGTATATTTTTCCCAAAAGAATTCAAGGCAATTTATAGTAAGAATTATATGCAGTGGATAAATTAAGACAATAAGGCAAATGGAGATTCTCCAATAAATAAATTCTAGAATGAAGATGAGATACCTATCAAATTTTTAAAATAATCATTCTAACCCAAGGCAAGACTTTAAGCACCCTAGAAAGATAATGAACACCACATAACAGAATGGTTTCTTCTGGACTCTCTTTCTATAGGGTGAGATATTTTCTTCACCTTATAGAGGAGGAGACAAACTCAGAGAAGTAAAATAACTTGCACTAGGCCACACTACTAGTAATTAGTAGAGACAGGATTTAAATCCAGGTCTTACTCAAAATCATCAACTTTTTTTCTTTTGTTTTTTAAATTGAAGTATGGTTAATTTACAATATTGTTAGTAGTTTCAGGTATACAGCATAGTGATTCAGTATTTTATACTGAATGTGATTTCAGCATATTATAGTCCATTATACATTATTACAATATAATGGGTATAATTCCCTATTCTATACAGTATATCCTTGCTGCTTAAATATTTTATATATAGTAGTTTACATATTAGTTAATGCCATATCCGTAATTTGTCACTATTTCTCCACATCTTCATTAGCACTTCTTTTCTGTTGTTTTGATTATAGCATACATCCTGGTGGGTGTAAAGTGATATCTCACGTGGCATTGATTTACGTTTTCCTGATGACCAATGATGTTGACCCTGCTTCCCTGACCGTTTGGCAACCACAAGTTTGTCTTCTTTATCTGTGAGTCTATTTCTGTCATGGATACACATCCATTTGCCTTATTTTTAAGATTCCACCCAAAACCATGATCTTGACTCCCAGTCAACAGTGAACTAAAAGAGCTGAAATTTACTTCATAAGGTATTTACGATTAAGCTTGAATCCTGGCTCTATCACATGTTAAATGGCTAATCTCTGGAAGTAATTTAACTTTGTAAGCTGCAGCTTCCTCACTTGTAAAATGAAGACAACAGTGGCTACACTCACAACGTCACCATAGGGAGTAAAGTTTACTGTGTTTGTAATGTCTATCTATCTCATAAGGTTGTAGTAATTCACATAAAACTTTTATAACATTTAGCATATAGTAAGCAATGAATAATAAAAGCTATTATTATTATTATTATTATTGCTAAAGCAAATCAGAATTCCAAAATCTGAGCTAAAAAACACCATAGAGCCCATCTAATCAACCTCTAATAAGATAGCAGTAGTGAAATCACTCATTCTAAGTTGCACAGCCAGCTAGTAATTAACAGAGATCCAGTTCTCCCACGCTCCCGCAAATGCCCTCTCAACCACAACCCTGGTTGTTTATGGACTTGAATCCCTCTAGCCCACATATTTTTAGTCACATAACAGAAGCTTACCCCAGCAATGTAGCTGCCAGTAGCTCGAATACAACTCACGGCAACACCAATTCCGCCAGCGGACTTGGAAATCAATGCACACTGCTTTAGAGTGTCATAAATGCCTTCAATGCTATCATCTTTCATACTCAGAAGGAAACAGCTACAGGGGGAAAAAGTCACAATTCAGCAAGGAAATGAAGGAGAGTCAAAAAACAACTATATAATTCAAAGAGAGTAAGTTAGGCAAATAAATGATCTCAAACTTACAAATTTTTTTTAGAAGAAAAAAAAATTTTTTTTTAATGTTTTTAGAAGGAAAAAGAACCAAAACCTTCACTGGATATGACACAACATAACATATCAACATACATTGTTTTAAAATCACCTTGCCATCTAACCTAGATGCTGAGCCTACATAAAAGTCTTAGGGATAGGTAAAAATATTAGCTTACCTATTCACCAGATTACAAATGTGCCATTATAACATTTTCTGATGTAAATTCCTAAGCATACTTAACATCTTTTCAAGCCAAGAAAAATGCAGTTCAGTTCAGTTCAGTCGCTCAGTCGTTTCCGACTCTTTGCGACCCCATGAATCACAGCACGCCAGGCCTCCCTGTCCATTACCAACTCCCGGAGATTACTCAAACTCATGTCCATCGAGTCGGTGATGACATCCAGCCATCTCATCCTCTGTCGTCCCCTTCTCCTCCTGCCCCCAATCCCTCCCAGCATCAGGGTCAATGAGTCAACTCTTCACATGAGGTGGCCAAAGTATTGGAGTTTCAGCTTCAGCATCAGTCCTTCCAATGAACACCCAGGACTGATTTCCCTTAGGATGGACTGATTGGATCTCCTTGCAGTCCAAGCGACTCTCAAGAGTCTTCTCCAACACCACAATTCAAAAGCATCATGAAAAAAAAACCACCAATGCAATAATGAACCAAATTTGATATGTCCATCAAAATTTAGCTCCCTTACAGTCTTTTTTGAAGACAATCCTTCTACCTGTGATTTGGATCTTATCCTCCAACTCCAGAACCCTTATTCTACCAATGATCCCTTTTACCAACTTTAATATTCATCCAAACAAATAGACTTTATCTTTTGACTTTTTTATTGAATATTCAGACATTCAGAAATAAGAGAGAATTTATAACATATACTTTGTACTTACCACCTGCTTCAAGAAATTTGATGCTACAAATATAACCTAATATATAATATATATATATATATATAACAAATATATGCTGTTTCCATGCTTTCTACATTCCTTTAGCATTTACATATGTTCCACATTTTTAAAAAATTTCTGGTTTCATACTATCTTTCTGCAACCCGCTTTTATTTAACTCAGTATTGTTTTAAAGAATCATTCCTACTGATACATATAGGACTAGTTTGCTGTAAGGTATTCCATTGTATGAATATACCAATATCCACTTGCCTGCTGGTGGACATTTAGATTATTTCCAACTTGTTTGCTATGGAAGTTTTTAAACATATTTCCTTGTGTTTATATCTAAGGATTGTCTATAGGGTGTAAACTTAGGAAAGGAATTTGAGTCAAAAGATATGCATGTGTTCCACTTTACTAAAGATTCTCCAAAGTGAATGGGTAAGTATACTCTATCAATCAATGCATGAGTGTGCCCACATGCTTACCAATACTCAGTTCATCAGCCTTTTAACCTGTATCAATCTGTTGGGTATGAAATATCTCATTATGATGTTAACTTTCACTTTCTTAATTAAAAGCAAAGTTTATCATCATCTCATTTGTTTATCAACCAATCAGTTTCTTCTACAAATTAGCCCATGTTTCTATTTGGTTTTGTGTCTTTTTCTTATAATCTTTCAACAGTTAACATACATTGCAAGTTTCCTCTCACCGTCTGAAATCTTTTTCACTGTATTTGGTTTGCCGAAGTTTAAAATTTTAATATAGTCAGTTTTTCCTTTATGTTGTCTGCTTATTATATCTATTTTAAGAAATGTTTCACTCCTCTGAGGTCATATATATTCTATCAAGATGTAGGTTGATAGTTATGACATCTGAAACCCACTGTCAAATGACTTAGCCAAAAATATTTTTAATTTTCAAGACAAAAATAAAAAATACATGTATATGACAAAATATCAGTAATTTTAAAAATCGAGGCGTAAGTGGGTGTATCAGTGGAGTTCACTCCTTCAAATTTTTCTGAATGTTTGAAATTCATATTAAAAAGCTGGGGAGGAAAATATTTATTTTCTCTCCATGTTCTTCTAAAAGATTTTACTTTCATTTTTATATTTTTCTCTTGAATTTATTTCTGTATATGACATGAAGAAAGGAAATCTAATTATACATTTCCCTATAGGGTAACCGATTTTCCTAGTACTGTTTTCCCAATGATATACAATGATTTCTGTTATTCATCAAGTTCTCCTATAATCCACAAAGTAGGGTATTTACTCTAGGATAGATAAACATAGCTTTATAGTAGTCTTGAATCTAGCAGGACTTTTTCTTCAAAACTATCTTGCTATTTATATTAATTTCTTGTGGCTGCCCTAACAAATGCCACTAACTTGGTGGCTTAAAGTAGAAATTAATTCTCTCACAGCTTAGGAGGTAAGAAGCTCAGCATCAGTTTCACTGGGCCAAAATCCTTCAGAGGCTCTAGTGGAGAACATTCCTAAAGGAGCCAGCTTCTGGGCTCCTCTGCTTATAGCTACCTGACTCCAATTTCTGTCTCTATCTACACACTGCCTTCTTTTCCTCTGTATGTCTTGTATTTCCCTTAGCCTCTGTCTTATAAGGATATTTTTTATTAGATTCAGGGCCCACCTGAATAATTTGGGATAATCTCCCTATGTCAAGATCTTTCTTGGAAGGGGAAAATGACAACCCACTCCAGTATTCTTGCCTGAAAAATACCATGGACAGAGAAGCTTGGTGGGCCACAGTCCATGGATTTGCAAAAGAAACAACTATCTGACTAAATAACAACATGGATTTGTCAGTTTCTGTTATGTGGCTACTCTAAGAAGCTAAATAATTAAAAGCATTATTTGAAAATTAGATCTTTCTTAATCATACCTGAAAGACTGTTTTTCCTTATAAGGTAACATTTGTAAATTTCAGGGATTAGGATCTGGTGTATTTGAGCAGCATTAGATTATTCTTAGCCATTTGCTCCTCCATATAAATTCTGGAATCTGCATGTTAAAATTCTGACTGGAATTATACTGAATTTGTAGATTAACTTGGGAAAAGCTGACATTGCTATTAAATCCATTTATGAATATACGATCACTCTTGATTTGTTTTATAACATCCTTCAATTACATTTTAGAATTTTTTCCTTAAAAGCCTTACACACCTTTCAATAGATTTATTCCTGAGTACCTTCCAGTATTATACATTTTAAAAGTTAAATCTTCTTTTTTTGGTTTTGTTTTTTAGTTGCTGTGTCCAGCTCTTTTGCAACCCCATGGACTGTAGCCCACCAGGCTCCTCTGTCCATGGGATTTCACAGGTAAGAACAGTAGAATGGGTTGCCATATCCTTCTTCAGGAGATCTTCCCAACGCAGGGATTGAACACACGTCCTCTGCATTGGCAGGCGAATTCTTTACCACTGAGTCACCAGGGAAGCTCCTTAAATCTTCTAGCAGCTAAAGTACAAAATTTCAATAAATTAATTTATGTTGAATTTATATCCAGATATTCTACTGAAGGACTTCCCTGGTGTCTCAGATGGTAAAGAATCTGCCTGCAATGCGGGAGACCCAGGTTTGATCCCTGGGTTGGGACAATCCCCTGGAGAAGGGAATGGCTACCCACTCCAATATTTTTGCCTGGAGAATTCCATGGACAGAAGAGCCTGGCAGGCTACAGTACATGGGGTTGCAAACAGTCAGACACAACTGAGCAATTCACACACACACACACACACACACACACACATTCTGCTGAAATCCTTTTACTTCTAATAACTTGTCTGTAGATGCTCTGTAGATGCTCTTAGGAATCATTAGTTTCATTCCCTCACTTCCAACCATTTTTTTTCTTATTTTACAATTACAATGCTGGCTCAGGCCTCAACTACAAAGCTAAAAACAGAGGTCCAACAGATTTAAGTTTTTAGTGGATATCTTTTACCAAAGAAAGGAAGTTATTTTCTACATCTATTTTGCTATTTTTTTAATGAAAGTACTAAATAACATAAAATGTTAGGGCAATGAATTACATTAATACACTTTTTGATGTTAGCATATCCTTGAATTCCTGAGATAACCCAGCTTGCTTAGGGTGTATTAGCTTTTTTCTTTTTTAATAAACTACTGGACTCTGTCCCACTGTTCCCTTTCTCAGAAAATGACACCATAATAAATCTGTTACTTTACCCATAACTCAGGAACCACTCTTGACTCATATTCAAATCACCAATTCTATCAATTTTACCTCCCAAATCTCTTGAATCAGTCTACTTCTCTCAATCTCTACTTTCACTTCCCTAACCCAAAATACCATACTCTCTCATATAGACTACTATTAGAATCCTCTAATTATTATCAGAAAATATTTTATTGAGATATAATTCACATACCATACAATTTCCCATTTCAAGTATACAACTGATGGGTTTTATTATATTTACAGAGTTGTACAACCATCACCAGAAACAAGCTTAAAATTTCACTACTGGCATTTGTCTCTCATCAATTTGTTTACCACAATGCAGTAAGAGTTTTCCAGAAAGTAAATCTCATTTAATGATTAAATGTTTATCAAATTAATTTTTATGTGATGAACTATCTAGTTTCTTCAGGTCAAGGTTTATTTCCCTAGTCAAAAGCATTTTAGAATGTTAAAAGTGACTGTAGATGACACATACCTAGAAAGTTGTGGGCGGTTGGTACCAGCATTGAACAGAGTGGGAGAGGCATGGGTAAACCACTTCTCAGAAAGAAGGTTGTATGTTTCAATAGCAGCATCAATATCTTCTTTGTGAATCCCCACAGATACCCTCATCAACATGTGTTGTGGTCTTTCAGCCACTAAAAACAAGAGAAATTTTTCACATGAAAACTAGGCTGAGATATGTACTTGAACCTAAAAAAAGGAACAACAGAAGACAATTTAAAAAATTTTACACCAATAAGCAGCAAGATTATTCATAAACTAAACCTAAAGTTTAAAGTGTTAGTTAGAGTTTAAATAGAAATGTTAAGACAAATAGCTTAAAGTTCTATATTCAATATAATGAACAGAAAATATAACACACAAACACATTCATGTCTCACCCTTCCCATTGATCTTCAACAAATAGGATCGCTCCAGTGTCTAGAAAAAGCAAAACAACTGAAAAACTTCCAGAGCATAGTTTTTAAAGACATAGCAGATATATCATTCACAATATGCAGCTATTTAAATCTACTCAGTTTTTAAAATAATCTTAAATGACAAGAACATCATATTTAGATTTATTGGTTTTAGCTTAGAACATTATCAATTGACTATTTTTTCAAAAAAGAATGCCTAAAATTTTCTGGAAAAAGCCAACTCTACATTAATATGTATAATGTTCATAGCAGAAGTTGTGGTATTCTTTATATTATAATGGTTCATATCATTAACATTTATAAAATGCTTATAACAGGCTAGGTACTGACCAAAGCAACATATACACACTCACTTAAACTTCAAGAGCATTTGATATTGAAATTTTATTATTATCCCCATTCTAAAGATGAGAAAACTGAAGGAAAAAGGGATTAAGTCCCTTGCTAATAAGAAATGAAGCGATGATTTGAACCTAGGTGGTCTGACATCAGCATTCACATTCTCAATCACTACATAACACTGTTTATCAACACAAAAGTACCTAGAAAACCACTTGGCACATAGTAGGAATTCAATAAATAGTTGTTGCATAAACAGAATAATATTGAATCATTCTGGCAAATTACCTGCATAACTCCACAGGTATCCAGAAATACTATTTGGAAAATTTGAAAACTGCAAATGAATAAGCTATCTTTCCTTAATTCAAACAATCACCACAATCCTAACCCCACTAATCCCTCAGGACCATCCCAACTCCCAACAAATTACTACCTTTATAATTATATCACTAAAACATAAACAAAAAATCTGTATTTCCTAATTGAAGAAGGAATTCCCACTTATTTGAAACCCATTATTTACCTTAAAGCCAAAGTAATTATAAGAGAAATCTCGGTCATAGATAATTGCAGAATTCAGGCGCTGATGAAGGTTAAAAAAAAAAAACAAAAACCCATAATTAAGATAATTACACTTATTTTCACAAAATTTGTTACCTTCCAGCCCTGATTTCAGAACTAAAATTGATATAGGATACAAGAGATAACACTAAGCATTTTTGTTGTAGAATAGAAATCCATACCTAATGTTAAGGAAAAAAATTATATAAATTGAGTATCCTAACCAGGTTTAAAAACACATACATTAAAAGACTAGACGAAAACATGTAAATTGTACGTAAGTAAAAACATAAATGTGACTTTTCAAACTTTCCCTATTGTGTTTACAGTATCTCTAAAAAGGGAAAGAATATGAGTATAAAAGGGACTATATTATCATCCTAAAACATGTTTTTAGATTAGTTATTAATCCAAAAGTATTGGAGCCATATAAATACTAATACATATCTTTATTTTCCATTTTAAACTGTACACAATTTATGATAAACAATTACATTAATTGTAAGGCTAATCAAATCCATAGTCCTTTAACAGATTTTAAACAAAATATTACTGTGACAGTGATATTTTAAGGCAGAACTGGCCATTGCTACAGAGCTTGTGTAGGCTATAAAGCCATTTAAAGGAAACAAAGCAATTAGGTACAAATAAGCATTTTGGATAGAAGAACATAGAGCCAATTTTTCTAAATACTATCAGTGTTTCCATACAAGGATCCATGTCCAAGGACTAGAAAAATCTATACGAAATTCCTCACTTTCTGTTAAATTTTTAAGGGCATCTTTGTTGCCAAGGCACGTAGGGGCTTTGCATGACTAATGGAGAACTGAGATACTCGATTATCAAAATTTTTATTTTAGATACAGGTTTTTTATGTCATTTATTTTTGTTTCTCACCTGTCTTCAAGATTATACACACAAATACACAAACAACTCACTCAGTTTTCTCTCAGTCTCTTTAACATCAGATACATATTTAGAGATAGCCAACTAATCACTCTATTACCTACAGTTAAAATTGATTTCTAATCTGTGCAGATATGCATGGTAAATAAATTCTGTGTGCAAAAGGGCTGGCTTGATCTACCCATCTTTCCCTCTGTCCTCTGGGATGTAGTTAAGAAAGGAATTAAAACACAAATGGATAATTTTTAAGTTGCTGAGCAAGAAGACCTTCCAAAATTTAACCTGAGCAACCTTTTTGGGAGTCAGTTTGGCAATGTCTACCAAAATTTTGAATGTATATACTTTTTGGCTCAGCAATTCCACTTAAGGGATTTACCTCACCAGTATACTCATCTATGAGCAACATACTACCATATGAGAATACTGACTGCAGTGATAAATGGAAAACAAATATTCATCACTAAAGCAATTCTTACATATATATATAATGATGATATGGCTATAGGATAGAATGCTATGCAGGTGTTAGAAAGAATAAGGTAAATTCATAAATGCTAATAAAGAACTATCTCTAAGATATACCTGTAAGTGAAAAAATATTAGAAAGAATAGTATGCACAGTACATTACCACTAAAAGGAAAAATAAATGCACACACACCATGTGTTACAGAACAATTCTGGGAAAAATACATTTTAAAATGACAAAGTGCTATTCTTTCTAGACAAGAAAACCAGGATTCAGAGAAGGAGAATTACTTTTTACCTCTATCTCTTATCATAGTGTTTAAATTTTTAAAAATGTGTTCATTGCCTTAAAAAAACAACCTATAAAAAATTTTTCACCATGAAAGCATTATACATACATCTTTATTTGCCAAAACAATATCCAATGTTGACTTGGCCACCATGGGAGAGTGTTTGCCATTGTGTGGATTTATATAGTTGAAGAGGTCTTCCATTACATCTAAAAACAAAACAACAGAAAATTAAAATACCAAAATCACTTAACAACAAATTCAATCTTCAGGTTAACAATTTAAAACAGTGGTTCTCAACTGTCTTTCATCCCAACTCACCTTAGTACCTAGCAAAGAGAGTGCTCAATGGACAAATACATGTTATATAAATATACACAGAAACTTACATAAGTAAAATAAGAAAACCCTTAAAGAAATAACTTTCCAGAGTTGGAGTGAGCATATACTCTTTTAGTCTGAAAAAGACTGCCAGATGATTCTCACACCTTACACCATTAAGGACTTATTAGGTGAAAATAAAGAAAAACATAAATTATAATCTCAAGTTTTCTTTTACCCTAACAAAACAGAAACTCAACTTAAAATTCAAAATCTATCATCTCAAGGATTTTACTTCTATAAATGCACATTGAGTAATAAGCTCTCTCTCTTTCAGACATCATAGCAGATATTTGGTCCTCTGTGTTTATACATAATACAGACACATACAAAGCTGGCATTCTGACACTGACTTGAATCCATAGATCAATTTTGGAAGATCTGATAGCTTTACTCTTACAAATCTACTGAAGAGGGAGATATAATGTTTAAAGTCCCACATAAAAGATCTGGAATTGAGAGCCAAAAGATTTCTACTCTCAGTCTACCAGCTGACTTCTTACATATCACTTTTTATATACTTAACACATAATTTAGCCTTCTTTTGCCTACATTCTCTGAACTGTAAAATGGGAGTGATGACTAATGGTGACAAAAAACTGATTGTAACATTTTAACTTAGGAATTATCAATAAATATTATTTTTTTTCCAATCACGCCACCACTAAGCATCTAAAGAGGGGCTTCAAAAAAACAAAAAAATAGAGAGAGAACAAAAAGATAAAGAAAAGTTTCATTGACCTTTCCACGCAGCAGATGAGCAGCATGGAGACACAGGAAGTTCTAGTCTCCCTCTGCCACCAACTTGCACACTTCCCTTTTTCAAACAAGATGTAACTTTTCTTTTGATACTCAAGGTCTCATTCTAGTTCACTTATACATTTTCTGAGAATACTAAATTCTTTCTTTTTCTTCTAGACTCACCACTGAATACTTTCTTGGTTTCTTTGTGCAAGTTAGAGACGGCAATCCTTGCTGCCAGGATGGCATAGTCAGGGTGCTTAGTAGTCAAGGTTGCAGCTGTCTCAGCAGCCAAAGTATCCAGTTCCACAGTAGTGACCCCACTGTATAAGCCTTGGATTACTTTCATGGTGATCTGAGCCTATAAAAGCAAAGCTAAGAATTACTTGTGCTTTTCCAGGAACCAACATCTTCCTTAAAAGAACAATGAAGAAAACAATCAAATTTATATAAAAATAAAAGACAATTTCCTTTTATGAAAAATCATCTTTCAGAATTGTACACTGTGGAAAATTTAGTAATGAGACTTCATAAGTGAATAGAGCTGCTAGAAAATGCATACTACATATACAATGAAGCATCCAAAGAAAGAAGGAAGGAAAGAGGGAGGGAGGGGGGAGGGAGAGAAGAGAGGGGAGAGAGGCAGGGAGTAGGCAAGGGAGCAAGGAGTGAAAAAAAGAAGAAAGTTAGTTTTAAAATTTAAGTAGAGCTTCTCAAAGATTAACAGACACATAGGGAAACAGCTGAAAACAGACCAATTTTTCTATAAGTATTTTCCCATCTTTCATTCAAATTTTCTGTATGTAATCATGGTTCAGGCCATATACTTACCTATTTACCCCCAATTATTCCTAAGGACAAGTACAGGAAAGCAAACAAATCAAACTTTAATCAGTCTAGTGAAAGGAAATGAAACTGTAAGTTAGAATTGGGACTGAGCCGTTAGATAATTTAATGGCTACTCTTTAACACCTCCCTGGTGTGAATGGCTTCCCTGGTAGCTCAGACAGTAAAGAATCTGCCTGCAATGCAGGTTCCATCCCTGGCTCAGGAAGATCCCCTGGAGAAAGGCATGGCAACCCATTCCAGTATTCTTGCCTGGAGAATTCCATGGACAGAGGAGCCTGGCAAGCTACAGTCTGTGGTGTCACAAAGAGTCGGACATGACTGAACGCCTTTCACTTCACTTCACTTAACACTTCACAAAATATCTCAACTTTCATAATCTTCTCTGACATTTCACAATTACCTGTGAGATGGGTATTATAATTATCACCACTTTACATGAGTAACCAGGTTACTGGGACTTGCCCAAGGTTTTTAATGTCCAAGTCTTCTGGCTCCATATCCCATTCAACCTCACTACATTTCACTGTTTTCAAGACCATACTGTAAGAGGCACCCCTTTTTAAAATACACAGTGCCCAAGTCAAGAAAGACAAATTCTAAGTTGTGTTACTGCTGTTCAGTCACCCAGTTGTGTCTGGCTCTTTGCAACCCCATGAACTGCAGCACACCAATCTAAGTTGTATATATGTATGTATTTACTGAGTCTTTAAAAAAAAAAAAAACAACAGATTAGGGAATTCCCTGAATGTCCAGTGGTTGGGACTCTGAGCTTCCACTGCAGGGGTTCAATCCCTGATGGGAACTAAGATTGCACAAGCTGTGTGGCCGCAAAGGTAAAAAAAATTAACCCAACAGAAAATGAATGCCATTTCCCAGTTGACCAAAGCATGCCCCTCTCAAAAAAAAAAAAAGTGTAATTACTAGTTTAAAATTTATCCCAATTACATGTTAGACCTAAACTCAAGTTTCTTCTGATCACTTTCTTCTCAGCAGGTAAGTCATGTTCAGTAAAAGAGTAGTGAAGTCTTCTATACACTTTCTGGTGCTACAAGGCAAGTAATCAAAACTCAGAATAAAACAACATCCATGTGCTAATAACCACTCCAGATTTAAAGCATGCAGATTTGTTCATCTACCCTAGAACGCTCATATTGGCCCCAGCACCCTTGCACTCTGAAATGTATGCAAGTGGCAACAGAACACCTAGGAGTCAAGATACCTAGTCAAGGTACCAATATTCTTCTTCCTACACTCTCACTCATTTGTACAATCACCCCCCTTCTCTTTGAACCTTTCTTATCAAGGGAGATAAAATAAGATGATCTCTCAGCTTTGTTCCAACTCTAAATATTTTAGTATTCTAATTATTGTGTAGTATTCTAAATGTAAAAGGGAAATGATAATAAATATATCTTAAAGCTGTATAAAATTATTTTCTTTCGACTATTTGGTCAATTCAATACTTATCAATCATCTAATTATGTACGTGTTAAGCATTGTGGATATCACAAGAACAAGATACAGACCTCCCCAACAATTCTAGAGAGGATAGGAACATATAAATTCTATACTAGGTGATTAATGCTAGGAGGCCAGTCCAAGTGCTACAGTAATACAGATGTTTTTGTTCAGTCGCTAAGTCATATCCAACTCTTTGCGACCCCATGAACTGCAGCGTGCCAGACGTCCCTGTCCTTCACCATCTCCCAGAGTTTGCTCAAACTCATGTTCATTGAGTTAGTGACACCATCCAACAATCTCATCATTTGTTACCCCCTTCTCCTCCTGCCCTCAATCTTTCCCAGAATCAGGGTCTTTTCCAATGAGTCAGCTCTTAGAATCAAGTGGTCAAAGTACTGGAGCTTCAGTGTCAGCATCACTCCTTTCAATGACTATTTAGGGTAGTAATATAGATAAAATATCTAAATAAGGATGGGGCAATATGGATTTTAAGAAAAAAGATTATTACAGACTCTATGTAGTAAGATCATTTTGAAAGTCATGTGGAGTCTGAATTGGAAGATGGCAAGGTGAGGAAGACCTGGAGGACACTTTAGAGACCACTATGGGCAGCAGTCTAGATAAGAGATGCTGCAGATCTAGAGCAGAGGAGTTATAGAAGCTGAGGAGAAAAGCAGAGCAACTTGCTTATGGCTCTCCTGAATTCAAAGGAGAGCTGTGAACTCTATATTACTTTAATGTATCCCTTCTGTATGGATAACAAAAAAGCAAATTTCAAACCAACTTCTACCCAAATGACCACAATTTCAAACAAGTTTTACAATAGATTTTTCCCTAATAAAATAATTTACTCAAAGAAGCCCCTAACTGAAATGTTAATATCAAGTTTTCCTCTTTTCTCAGCTTTATAGTTCTCTGAGAAGTCAGAACTCACAGCACAGACCAAACTTTAGGGGAAAAAGTGAGTTTCTTGTTTGCTTGTTGTCTTTTTGTTTTTTTTTTTTTTGCCATGCCACATGGCTTGTGGGATCTTAGTTCCCTAACCAGGAACTGAACCCAGGCCACAGCAGTAAAAGCCCAGAGTCCTAATCACTGGATCGCTAGGGAATTCCCAGAATAAAAAAAGTTTTAAACAATAAATTCACATTTTACATCCAAGGCTGTAAGAGAATACCAAACCAAAATATGTATATATAGCAAGAGAGTGAAGGGGAAAAGATAAGAGACAAGTAAATGGAATCACATGAAACAAGCAACCCAAGATATAAATCCTATTTACTTACAGGATCAACAAAGTCCATATTGAGTCCATAACAAAGCTTCTGGATTCGGGATGTAATTTTGTCGAACATAACTCGCTCTTGGCGGCCATCTAGAGAATCAAACCATACAATTCATATTAGCACTTACTAACACAGCAATGCCACAGAATCAAACATAATCAGCATGTAAACTTTTTAAACTGGCCAAAATGAAATGCTATTTTGTAGATAAAAGACTCAGACCCCAAAGAGATTCATTGAGAGATTCATTTTTTCATCTTCAAAAAGGAAAGATTCTATACTGAGTCTTCCCTTATATTACATATCAGATGGATTCCTGCAATAAATTTCCCAAATGATCTGTTCCCCCCCAACCCTTGTCCCAAATGACAGGCATAATTATTCTTTAAAACTTAAGTCAAAACCATGTCATTACTCCCCTCCCAAGAGTGGTTTATAATCTGTTTCAGAATCAAAGTCAAAATCATTACAATAGTCCACAGAATCTTATATAACCTGCCCTGGGAGCCCCCTCCCCCACATCACCTCCTACTCTCCCACCTGACCCTGGCAACCCTGACTGCTTACTATGTATACCTCTATTAGATCTTTGCTCAATGTCAACTTCTCAATAAGGTTTTCCCCAATCACTCTATTTTAAATTGGCAATGCCCCAAACACAGCCATGTCCCTCTTACCCTCCTTTTATGCTTTATTTTTCTCCAGAGCACTTCTGATCATCTGACATGCTCTATAGTTCACCTAGGTATTTGTTTATTGTATGACTCTTTCACTCATTCACTAGAATATAATTTCCAAAAGGAAAAAGATTTTTGTCATGATTTATTTATCAATGTATTTATTCCCCAGTGCCCAAACCAAAGCTCAAGGCCTAGCACATAGCAGGTACTCAAATAATTATTGAATGCTAAATGATTTATAAACCTGTCTCCATCCTAACACCTTCATGATAAATACAGCTTAGTACTTTCCTAGAGTAATTAATGATTTGAATTTACTTCATACCATGTAAAGAAGTACTTCTTTCTACTTGTAACTCAAAACAATTTTCCAGAGGCAACCTCTCATTTTTTATTTTGGGGATATGGAAGCACATACATATGGACCTTATATAGTTAGTCCTTTAATGATTTGGACTTACATCCTATAGCTCTTTCTTCTTCCTAACAAAGTCAGGCTGGTCCAAGGACTTTCTCAAATGTTTGATAAAGAATAATGAACAATAAGATACTGCTAGTAACCCACCATCAATAAAATAAGTTAGTTTTTCTTAAACACTAATACATTAACTAAGATGGCCCTTCTCTTTCTGATTACCATTGTGATCTCCTTTTCTAACAGATTCACATATGCATTGTTTAACTCTGGAATAGAGTAAATTAGCTGGCACACACCAGGACTGAGCCCTTAATGCTCTACTAACTGGTTAGGCAGATAGGTGACCACAAGGCAGTATTAGCAAACTGAAAATCTGCAGCTGTCAAATTAATCAGGAACTGACAGAAAGTACAAAAGCAACTCTCTAAATTCACACTGGGAACGGAAGGAACACTAAAGGGCTAAAGGATCAGTGATCCACTGTTCTCTAGCCTATCATTTCACTTGATTATCTTTTTTCAACCCATAAACTGATTTCATCATATCACTAATCCCTGCTTACATTATCCTCTTCTATCAAACAAGGCCTTCCTTAATTTGGTTCCCCATCTCTCCTACTGATCTTTGTGAAATATCCTACATCCCAACAAGGCGTCCCATTCCCACATCCATATAACTGCTTATACCTTACTCTGCCCAAAAGTCCTTCTTCCGCCTTTCCATACATCTAACTCCTATTCACTCTCCAACTCTCACCACATCCATGAAACCTGCCCCAAACACTGTAACTCACATTGCCCTCCTCCTCCTGTGAAATCCTCTAGAACACTAACTGTCTGATTTCCTCCTGGGTTTAAGCTGTCTTTTTAAATTCCTCTCTTCAGGGAGACTTTGCTAATACTGTAAGACCAAGTATATGCCTCTTTGCAAGATATGAACTTTCTATTCCCTCTACCTACAAAGTTCAGCTCACATATCTTCACACAGTTGGCTCTTAGTATTATTCAGAGCTCAGTTGAAATGTCACCGCCTTACCTAAGAACCCAATCCAAGGTTACCTTCTCATTCATCTTTATCACATTACCCTGTTTTACCACCACCATCTCACAAACCACTATCTGGAATTAACTCATTCTTGTCACTCACACCAGAATGTGAACTCCAATCAGAAAAGGAATTTAGCTTGTTTTGTTCACTGCTGAATCCATAGTACCTAACACAGTTCCCGGCATAAGAGATGCTGAACATAGTCAGTCCTCTGAATCCACATCCATAAACAGTATATGATCTGTGGTTGGCTGAAGCCCTGGATGCTGAACTGGAATTTGCACATGAAGAATCCACAGAGACTGAGGGATGACCATGAGACTTGAGTATACATGGATTTTGGTATCCACAGCAGATCCTGAAACCAAATGCCCCATGGATACTGAGGAACGACTGTAAATACTTTCTGAATAATTGAACGAATGGGCGGCTATAGCCTATATTTTACATATTAGAATTCTGATCATATTATGTTAATGTTTTCATCTATTTTTCTCAATTGATTGTAAGATCTTTGAAAGCTAGAACTATTTCTGCCTACTCAGCACTGTAACCTCAGTGCCAAGCACAGTAGCCACACAGATCGTAAAATAACACAGTGGGCTGTAAAGGGATTTAGGAAGGATGGGAAGGAAGAGGGAGAGGAAGGGTGGTGAGGGAGAGAGAGGATCTGGAATACAGGAGATTATAAGAGTGCAAATAGATGCTTTAGAAAGTACTATTTTGCAAAGTTTGGTTCTGTTTTACGTAAATACTTACATATACATGTGTGTACTCAGTCATAATGGAAAATAATTTTTACTGTGGGCTTTTGAAAACACTATACTGAATTCCAAAGCACACTTGACAGCTTGGATACATTGCCTTTATTCCAACGGTTCTCAACTTTTAATCTTAACCTCCTTGAGCAATATGATGCTGTCCCACCAAGAATAACAAGATAGCAGATAAGAAAAATTCATCTACTATTCCCTTCTGTTATCTAACACTTTTCATATAAACTACTCCTATATCCTTAACAGCCCTAAGAACATGGAAGATGGAGATGCCTTCTCCCTCTGCTATTAACCTCATGGTGCTTGGCAAGACATTAGTACATTCAGTTAAGTATTTTAAGTTTACTGCAGTTGCCCTCCTGAATAATTACAATACGATTGGCAAAAACTGCATGTGTTAGTCTGCTTCTATACTATCATCCCAAAAATAAGGGGAGGAGAGAATACCCTAAACAAATTAAAGATCAAAAATAAAATAAATCTACGTACAACTTTGTATATGAACAAGCCTTGCTGAATGTTACTGGCAGGCTAGCAGCAAACCATCTGGATCAAATTATGTTCTCTGAAGGAATGAGAAACAAAATAAGACCTGCCTTTGTTGTAGGTAGTACTTTTTAAACCACAGTATTTGAAAGTGGACCCAAAAGGTTAAAAATGCAACACAGAGGTGCTACCCACTCCTGAGATTTATGATCACAAGTTTATGATTCATCTGTTACAGATGTTTCTTAAGAGCTTCTCATCTTTCCAGATCTTTTTCTAAAGGTCTAAAAAAACTGAATCGTCCCCTCTCACTTAAAGGAATCGACCAACAAAGTGCACTATGTTGTTCGGTCTTTGGTCTCAACAGCTAAAATGGGAGACTAGAGAAATGTAGAGAATGATGTTTCAAAGATACTAATGACAAGAAGGACCATAACTCTATCTCTAGGCTGTAAACCACCTAGTTACAACCAAATCAACTACCTTCCTACTTACAACATGCATCATATTCTATATCTTAAAGTATTAGGTTGGTACAAAAGTAACTGCAGTTTCGGACTGTAAATTTTAAATCATTATAACTAGGCTCAAACACATCTTTATTAATCAAAATAGGAACCATTACAATCAACACATTTTTGGTAGTGAGAAATAAGTTCCTTTATTCCTGTAGTGTAAAAATCCGTGCTTTGGGATTCAACGAACTCTTGGAAAGCATTTTCTGCCTCCTCAGGTTGTGGAAGCGTTCTGCCTGAAAAAAGTTGTCAGGATGCTTTAAGAAGTGGTAGTCAGTTGGCGAGGGGTCAGGTAAAAATGGTGAATGAGGCAAAGCCTCATAGACCAATTCATTCAACTTCTGAAGTGTTGGTTGTGTGACGTGCAGTCAGGCATTATAGTGAAGAAGAACTGGGCTCACTCTGTTGACCAATGCCAGCTGCAGGCATTGTGGTTTTGGGGGCATCTCATTGATTCACTGAGCATACTTCTCAGATGTAATGGTTTCACCAAGATTCAGAAAGCTATAGTGCACCAGATCAGCAGCAGATCACCCAATAGTGACCATGACCATTTTCTGGTGCAAGTTTGGCTTCAGAGCATCTTCTCTGTTCAACCACTGAGCTGGTCATCACCAGTTGCCGTAAAAAATCCACTTTTCATCACATTTCACAGTCTGATCGAGAAATGGTCATTGCTGTGTAGAATAAGAGAAGACGACACTTCAAAATGACTTTTTTTAAAATTTTCGGTCAGCTCATGAGGCATCCACTTATCAAGATTTTACACCTTTTCAATTTGCTTCAAATGCCAAACGACCACAGAATGGCCGACTTTGAGTTCTTCAACAACTTCTTGAGTGGTTGTCTAGGAGGATCAGCTTCGACGATGGCTCTCAATTGTCATCAACTTCCAATGGTTGGCCACCACACTCACCTTCAAGGTTCTCTTTGCAAAACTTCTTTAACCACCACTGCACTGTACATTCATTAGCAGTTCCTGGGCCAAATGCGTTGTTGATGTTGCAAGCTGTCTTTGCTGCTTTACAACCCATTTTGAACTCAAAAAAATCGCTCAAATTTACTTTTTGTCTAACATCATTTCTATAGTTTAAATATAAAAAACAGCAAATAATCCTCAGCAAAAAAAGCACAAAGTGAGAAATATGCATTAAAATGATGTATAACATAACCACATTTATTTAAGAATGTATTCCAATACTAAAACAGCAAAGTTCAAAAATGTAAAACCGCAATTACCTCTGCACCAACCTAATAATTGTCTCATTCCCATCTATTCACCGGCAGGTTCAGTACTAAGTTTGGGCATAAAGTCCCCATCTTTGAAACACTCACAACCTAGTCGACAAAACAGTCAACCAGTATTTACAATTTTGAAATAACTTTAATGCTGTAACAGAGGCATATTCAGTAGACTCAAAACTTGTTCCTATCTGTCCCATGTGGTTCTCTGTTAAAGGTATGCTTTGCTCTTGTTTTTCCAACCTGATTATAAACTTTTTTCTTCCTGAGGCAAGTCTGTCTCCTCTTAAAATTAATTTCACAGAATCAAGCAAAGGACTGACACAAAGTAAGTCCTCAGCAAGTCTAACGGAAGATGTGCCGAGGAAGAACACAAGGCTCTTCCCGGTCCCCACCCTGTCAGAAGATGTCTCGGCCACCCTACTCTAATTCCCTATCTCTTCCTATCAAAGGTAATGCCAAGTAGTCCCGATCCCAAACTCCTCTGGGACTACTCTCCCCAACAACGGAAACACGCAGCGACAACTCTGTGGAGATGTCTGTGTCTGAGACTGACTTTTTCACCCCACAAAAAGAGATCAGGAAGCTGGTAGGTGCCCGTGTAGAATGCAGAGCCTCTGATTACCTAGCTTCTCCCAGGCCTAGGCTAGGACAGGTGACCAAGCTTTTTTTATTGTTGTGACCAACAACAATAAAACTGTTGTTGGCTATGGGTTCGAAGTCCGGCATCACCAGCATCTAACTGGGTGACCATGCAGTCCCGAAGCCTCTCTCTGCGCGAAACGCAGCTAATAACCCCTACCTCAGAGTCTCGCGGAGAGGAATAAAGTGCCGCCTGAAAAGTGCTGGGCGCACACAGTTACAACTCGCTAAGGGAAAGGTGTTACTACTCTTTAGAAAAGCGGCTGGATGACAGAGCCGAGGGGCGCAGATTGAAGCTCGGAGGGGAACTGGGGACAGACTGACCAAAGGGCAAGAGGCCAAGCAGCTGACAGGGCGGGAAACCGCTGCCGATAGCGCGGGAAGCGGCAGAGGCGGGCGGGCGCGGCTAACTGCAGGGCGGCGGCAGCCCGCGTCCCTCACCCGCCGCCCCCTCCCCGGCCTCTCACCTCGCTTGATCACATGCATCGCAGCTAGTAACTGAGGCTCTAAAAGATGCGACACGAGACTGCAGCTCTGAGGCTCCGGTGCGATCGAGAAGGTGGCCGAGCACGGAGGGTCAGGCTCGAAGGTTTGCTCGGGTGCAGGGCCTGGAATTAGGACCAGAGAGCACTTTCCTCCACAGAGCAGAGGAAGGCAATCCGAATCCCCTTCCCGCTCCCGCCAGCCGCGGCGCAAAAGCAACGCGACCAAGCTCGAGTGACGTCACGCGACGCAGCCAGCGCCGCGGCCGGTGAGCGGGGCTAGCGTAGCAGAGTCGGCCTGACCCAACAGCCGCCATGTTGAGTGTGGGCAAGGCCGGGGAGATGGCGCCTCTCCTACGGCAGCACTGGGAGTGAACGTGCCTGGCGGGAACGCAGACATTCCGCCGCCATGTTGGATGTGGGCACAGCGGATTCCGGGGCCCAGCCTGCCAGGTCTTGCCCCGCCCCTCTTGCCGGCAGTTCCCGCAGAGGTCAAGAAGGTTCTAGTGTATTGGAAATAGCAAAACTCCAACCATCCACTTTTTCTTGTCTTGACGGTTGTTATATTATAACCCAAGACTGCCGTCTGAGGTGGGCTCTAGCCAGAGATACGTAGACGGAGGCTGGGAGCTCCAGACCCTTCTTAGGTGGGCCTGAGTCCCGTTGGGAGAGAGCCTTGCTATGCCAAGGAAGGGCCTTTCGATTTTATCCTGATAGAAACGGGAGCAAGCTTTGGCAGAGTTTGAGTGGGCAAGGCTATGATCCGTTTGGTTTTAGAATTATCAAGTGGGTGGTGGCAGAGATAGGGTCAGCAGTAAGGCCTTGGAGAGGTAGAATGGACAGGACTTGGTGACCAAACGTTAAGCATAGGTGAGACATGACGCACAAGTCTGATGCAGAACCTTCAGCTTTGGGCTAGGCAAACTAATTTTTATGAAATCTCATGTGGCATTCTCCACTGTAAAACCTTTCATTGGTTCCTTATTGCCAGCAAGGTGATCCCAAGGTTCCCGTGAGGCATAGCAATACCTCAAAGATATTGGTGATTTGGTTCTCATAGGGACAGAGTAAAGGGACAAAACAGGTAATTAGTTAATCCCACTAGGGGATTGTAAGTAGAATAATTATGGGAGACCCCTGTAAGTTATGATTACTCAAGAAAGCAGACTTGCTTAGCAACAAAACCATGCAACACAAGCATGAGACATGTCCCCAAACAATAAAACAATGATGGCATGAGCCCCACATCCTGCCCCATGAGCTCAGTAAGTTAATGATCTGTAGGACATGCTCTCTGCACACATTAAAAAAAAAAAAATTATGGACCTAGCTTGACTGTGTAGGAAAACACTCCCCTACTCAACTTGGAGGAGGAGCTAATGATGTCTACTCAAGAAAGACAAAGCAGTTCTTCTCCTCCCTGCTTTTCCTTTAATTATAACTGTAGTCCAGTAAGTTCTTGGGGCACGGCACCCTCCTCACCAGCTTGTAAGCCTCACAAGCATCCTATTCTAATAAATCATCTCTTATATAATATTACTTTGCCTCTTGCTGAGTTCTTTCTACACTGAAACATAAAGCACCAGGAGTTCTAAAGAGCCCCCTGAAATGACACCAAATGGTTTCAGTTCCAGACCGCTGCAATATAGCAAATATCATGATAAGGCAAGTCACAAAATTTTTGGTTTCCCGGTGCATATAAAACTATACTGTAGTCTTTTATGTGTGCAATAGCATTGTCTAAAAAAAGTGCACAGCTTAATTAAAAAAATACATTACTGCTAAAAAACATTAACCACCATCTGAGCCATCAGCAGTGGTAATATTTTTGCAGGTGGAGGGTTTGAACTACTGCAAGAATTACCAAATGTGACACAGAAACAGGAAGCGAGTAAATGCTGTTGGGGAAAAAAATAAGACTCCCTTGCCACAAATCTTCAATTTGTAAAAAGTGCAATACTTGCAAAGTGCAATAAAATGAGATATGCCTATAATTCTAAAAGTCACAGGTGATCAGTGAACCTATATGATAGGATCAAATAGCCTAGAGGTAGGGTTGCAAGGTTAAGCTAATAAAAATTTATCCCCAACATTTCATAGGGCATAATTATATTTTTAAAAAGTTATTTGTCTAATATTCACATGTAACTGAGTATCCTGTATTTCATCTGGTAACCCCACCAGAGAGTTTTGGGTAAGGTATTAGAGTTTCATTTTCCCTTGGCAGAAGAGAAACGTCCCTTCATCCTATCTGCTATGCCACAGAGCACAGGGAACAATGAGAGTCAAAGCCAGCAGAGGTTAAAATCTCCTACATGCTTTATTGGACTTCAGAGAGCCTTATGAAATAACACAGAAAAACCCATGTGAGGCTGTCCAGGGGGTACAAGGCAGTCTGCAGCCTAGAACCTCCTAAGACCAGCCCCAGGTGCCCCCACCCCAGGCCCAAAATAGGATCCCAGAGTAAAGGTGGCAGGGAGTGGGGCAGAGGGAAAATACCTTTACAGCCATAGCAAAAACAAGTAAGGGAGAGAGTTGTCTAGAGGGTGGGAAGGGTGAGGGGGAAGCGGTCACACAGCCACCTTGACCCATACCAGCTTCCTCAGCCACCCTGTCCCTAAACCGGCTGTGTCCTTGAGCCTCTGGCCCAGGCAACGCAGTAACATGAACATGGGTCTGACAGGGGGAGTATGTGGTGCAGGCACTTGGGAAATTCAGGAGATTTCATTTTTCAATTTTAAAATGTCTTTTGGTTCAAATGTGACAACACTCTGCCCAGCAGCTTCGGGGCCCCATTAGAGCCCTCTATCATAGCTGAGGCTCCTACGGTTGGGGAGCTGACTGTCCTGAGCCTTAGGAGTAATGATGCTTGGGGAGCATCTGGGCAGCATCTCTTACAGACAAACCCTCCTGCAGTGTGGGGCAGTGGGGATAAGAGAGAAGCAGGTGTGGGTGAGAGAAGAGAGAAAAGGTGACTGCCTCGTAGCCCACATCTCTGGCTCCTACTCATCCTCAGACTAGAAGTTGCTTTCAATCTATCCCTGAGCCTAGCCTCTCTTCAAAACCCTAGTGACTTGCTCTCTGGGAATTGGTTTTACTCCCCCATGGACCCCTGGAGTCCTAGTAAGCCCCAAGCCGAGGTTACCTCTGGCCCACCACACTTCCAGAGAACAAACCTCAAACATTAGGTCCTAGGCCCCAGTCTGGGGCAAAGAGAACCATCGTCAGTGGCGGGGTGGGGGTGCAGGGTGCAGAGGGTGGAAGAGATCTGAGGCACAGGTGTCAGAAGTTACTCCCCCTTTCTCCCCTGCTAGCTGCTAGGGGAAGTTGGGGAGTGGTGGGAGGGAGAAGCCTGAAAGCAGGAGACAGAGAATAACAAGAAACCAAACCTCAAAACTGGGACAGCAGAGTCATGGAAGCTGAACCCCAGAGGTGGAGCTGGGAGCTGAGGGGACAGCAACTAAGACATGCACTGAAGTGGAGAGGGAGTGCAGCAGCAGCCCATGGTTGGGAAGGAGGCAGGCCATGGTGGTCAGTTAATAAATAATGCTGAAGGACCCAAGGACGTGGGGGGCATGTATATACAGTGCCCAGGCCCTGGAGCCAGCCCCTCCCAGGCCCTGTGCTGGGGGCCAGGTATCTTGGAAGGAAGGGGAGGGGAGGCAGAAAACCAGGGAAGGACAAGTTGTCCCACCAGTGCCACCCCCATCCTGCCTACTTCTTAAGAGGCTTCTTAAAGATTTTGAGCGGAAACTTCTTCCGGCCTGGGCTGGACTCTGTCTCCTCGCCAATGGAGCCATTATCCTCCTCAGCCGCAGCCTTCTTGCCAGCCAGGTGGGGGATACGTGTATTTCGGCTAGCCTGGAGGGCTCGGCTGTCCCCAGCTGGAGATGGCGTGTCTGGGTCTGGGGGACTTGGGCTGTGAGAACGGGAAGAATCCAAATGTGGAGAACCACTAGGTAGGGCCGGGGAACTCAGCTCCATCAGGCTGTGGGCCTTGTCCAGCCCATGGTTCAGCGCCAGCAGTGCTTTCTTGGCCAGGGCAGGGCTGTCAGGCAGTTTGTCCACCAGAGAGCCTGGGTGGGCCCCCTCAATCAGCCGATGGCTGCCGTTGGAGGTCATGGCACTGAGAGCCTCATCTGCAGCACGGATCATCTGAGGAGGCTTGGGGGCCAGACGCTGGCGGTCACTCATGTGGAGGGAGGACTCCGAATCGGAATGGGTCAAATCCCTGCAACACAGGTCAGAGAGGAAAAAAGGGAAACACAGAGGGTGGGGGGCAGGGGGGAATTTGAAGAGGAGAGAGGGACCATGTAAGAAGACAAGAGCAGGGTAGGAAAATGGGGATGGAGAGAGGGGCAGGAGAGAGAAAATAGGGTGACCAGCAGGTGGGAAAGAGGGAAGAATGGGAAACAGAGGTAAGTTGACACAGCACAAGAGAGGAGGTAGGAATAGGGAATAAGGTTAGATTGGAGAAGAGATAAGGAGAAAAAAGTAATATGGGCAGGTGTATGTGTGGGGGGGGGGGGACATGGGGAGCAAAAGGAGAAGCAGGTAGAAATACAGAGGACCAAGGGAAAGAAAAGAGGGGAAAGTGATGGAGAGAAAAGAGATAAGAAACAAAAACAAATGTCATTATACCATTAACTCTCTGGCTAAGGGCTTTCTAAGGTCTGGCCCCCACCCCTGATGAATAGCCAGGCCTTAAACCAATGCAGCCATAGGCTTCAGTGCTACAGGCACCCTCCTCAGCAAAATCTCTGCTCCAGAGCTGGTTAGACTTCTCAGGACTCAACCCTAAGCTAACACATAACTCCTGTCCCACCTGGGGACACATCCAGTCTGGGCCAGGCCCCGAGGAACAGGGAAACATGCAGTCAGTGGGCCTGACCCGGACTGGCGAGAAAAAGACTAGAACAGCCTTGCAAACAATCCCTCACCCCCCTGAAAGGCCAAGATGCTGCCTCTTCCAACCTTCTCTCAGGATTCAAAGAAAGTCACAGAGAAGTGTTTTGGAGTTCAAAGTTGGCTGGCAGTAGGAAGACTGGGGTCTTTTTCAGAGCTCTGCTGACAGAGAGAATGTATGGATGTGCAGAAAGACAGGATGTTGGCCTTTAAGGAGCAGTGGTTCAGAAGAGCTGCCCACTGGAAGTCCTAAGGTCTACTTCAATTTCCATCTCTGCCTGAGACTTGCTGTGTGACCTTGGACAAGTCATATAACCTTGCTGGTCCTCAATTTTGGCCAAATGAAGATAACATCAATTCAATTATTTTGCAAGACTGTTTAGAGGCCCAAGTATGTTGGCAAAGCACTTGAAAATGTAGAAAGAATTGTGGGAATGAAGATGATGAGGCCAGTCAAGCAGGAAGACCCTTCCATGGGCCACTCACAAGAGGCTTCTTTGCAAGGCTGAGCTGTGGGGACATGGCACTGCACACTGGACATGCTCACAGAGGTGGTCCAGCATAGATGAGACCCTTTAAAGGGCTGGCTATTCCTAAGATGACCATGAACTAATTCTGATGCCAACCCTCCTGCCTTACAGACAAAAAGGTAGATACAGGAGTCCCCTGCGAATCCTTTAATCCTTCCACTTTCCCAGAGGCCCTAGACCCCATGGCAGAGGCAGAGGAGAGGGCTAAGGGAAATGTTTAAATATCCACGTCAGAAAACTAAAGGGAAAGGGTCATGAGTGGGAGGGGAGAGGACAGCACAGCAGGACCTAGAAAGGAGAAGGCTGTGGGTAAAAAATTAGGGAGTGGACCAGGCTCCAAAAACAGGCAGAAGCAGGAGGCTGGCTAATAGTTATTATAGGTTTAATTCTCAGTAGGAAACAATTCACCAAGCAGTCACTCTGTGGGCCAGTACCTTCATGGAGACATGGAACAGCAGAGAACAATCTCAGCTCCAACTTCCATTCCAAATACTGTTCCAGCCACCTACTCTAGTATTTTACCAAGTGTCTCCCACTTGCTTTCATATTTCTGATGGTGCCCCCTCTTCTGTCTAAATGTGTCCTTGTTTCTCTTAAGTCCCAAGATGATCCTCTCCACACCCTGCCTTTTCCACACAGATATGAACCGCTGAGCAAGGAGCCAAGGAAATTCTGGGGAGCAGTCACACTGGGACAAGGGGCCTTCTAGACTGAGGAGGTGAGGATTCTAGGAGACTGCCTTTTCAATGCCAAGGAAGGAAGAGAGGTCAAGAGGTTGGGGTCCACTCAGACTCACTCCTCCTGGCCTACCACCCCATTTGGTCATGATTCCCAGCCCTCCATTCCTCCATCATCAACAAAAGCTGAGGCTTCCAAAGCAAGAAAAGAACCTAGGAGGAAGCCTGGGTGGACATGTGAGGGAAAGGGCCCACTGAGCAAGCTCACTTTCCCTCCCTGAATCTCTGAGACAATTCAGGGTAGGGGTGTCCCTCCCCAAAGGCTGGGCTGCCTTGGGCTCCCGTCCCAAGCTACTAACCTTACTAGAGAGCCTGTTTGCCTTTAGAGATGATCCTCTGATGCATGGTGCGAAAGAAAATTCAGTAGTGAACAGGCCAGGTGGACGCAGGTACTCCTCCCCTTCCCCCCACCCACTTTGGGCCTTTGAGCATGAGATTCACAGCATCCTCTAGTTCCCCCAAAGCACTTTGATCCTGTCCATCCGTACTGGGAAGGGCAGTCTCCCTGCCTAGGCTTCTTGATGAAAATGAGGATGAGGATGAAAATGAGCAACTCTGCTAAGTGATAACACTAGGAAAGACTGTCCTTTTGTGAAAGAGAAAGGAACAGACTTCAAGGATAACCATCCAGAGTCCGAGGGGCAGAGCTAGAAAGACTGGTATCCAGAGTAATGCAGAATCAAAAGGAAGCAACAGGGTAAGCTGCGGTTCAGAGGCCAGGACTAAACCGTGGTCACAAATTCAGAGATGAGAGGTGGTTTCTGAAGGTCTTTCTGAGGGTCCTCTAAGCTTGTTCAGGCAGGGACAAGGCTACAATCTCTTACCATAACCTGTCACCTTGAGGTGTGAGCAGGGCAAGTCCCTGAAGCTGTGGGAGAAAGCTTGTCATCAGTCCTTACACAGTTCACTTACTGAGACCCTGTGGAAGCCCAAACATAACTAACAGCATCCTGGAATGGAAAGCCAAGTCCTAGTCTGTGTTCTGCTCCTCATTAGCTTTGGGACCTGGGGAAAATTACTTAACCTGCAGAATCTTAACTCCTTCTCTGAACAGGAGTGTTTTCATGCCTGCCTGACATAAACCTAGCTTGTCCAAAATCCTTAAATCTGTTTCCTCCTCCCTTCTGAAAAGTAATTTTATGAAAGGTACTACAGTTTTCCTGTCACCCAAGCTAGAAACCTGGGCATCATCCTAGATGCCTCCTTCTCCTCCACCCCTCAAAGTCAGTTACCAAATTAATACTCTTGTTTTTACCCCCAAACCTCATTACCTCCCCTGGTGGCCTACTGCAGTGACTTCCAAGTTCCTCTAGTAGCCCCATTCTTTCCTTTATACAGGCTATAAAATTTTATTTCTAAAATGCAAATATGACCAATTCACTTCCTTCTAAAAGCCCCTTGGCAGTTCTCTGTCTCTTAAAGGGTAATAGCTAAAGCTCCTAGCCTTTCAGAGCCTTGCATCATTCTAGCCTCCTTTGCTACTCTGTTCCATCAGATTCTCATGAACTTCCAAGCCTATATATGTGTTCCCTCTGCCTAGAATACTCAATCTCCTTTTCCTGCACACAGGTTGTTGGCACAAATGTCATCTCTTTTGTGAAGCGTTCCACCCAGGTTCACACTGTAGTCATTCCCTCTTCAACACCCCCATAGCACTTATCAACTGTTCCAGAATCATTTATGTACCTCTCCCAGACCAGACCATAATTCTTGATGGCTGAGATTGTATCTTATCATCTACGAATCCCCATGCCCAGCAGTCTGGCAGAGAGTAGGTATCCATAAATGTTTGCTGAGGGGATAAAGAAGTGAGGACTCCACTGAGATAACGGATGTGAAAGTTTAGGCCAATGTGCTATAGGACCGTGAGGAAGGGGGTCTGTTACTCATTTTTAGAGTCAGCAAACCCCAAGGAGAGAAGGAAAGAAAGGTGTAGGGCATTAGGCTGACCTCAAGGAGGGGTCCCAGGCTGGGAAAAGACAGGACAAGGAGAAGGTACCCCATTGCACAGCCCCCACAGCCCACCAAGCAGCAGCCAGCAGGCAAAGGCCAAGGTAAAGGCAGCAGAGAGGCACGGACGGGAAGAAGGGGAGAGAAGAGAGACAGCTGATACCCCAAGCTCTCTGAGTGCCAAGGCATCACAGCGGTGCTGTCAGAAGGGGATGGGTCAGGGTAGGGCTCCATCTGGAGGAAATAGGAAGTGCTGTGGTGGTAATAGACAGGGTGGACATGGACGGTGGTGATGGAGGTGGTGGTGGTGGTAGTGGTGGTGGTGGTGGTGGTGGTGGTGGCAGAGGAGCAGGAAGAAGAAGCAGAGGCAGGTGGAGCGCTGGTCCCGAGGCCTTCAGAACTGAAAGACTGTCCAGATGAAAGGCTGCGCATTCGCCGCAGAGAGACCCGGCTTGTCAAGAAGTGGCCAGCCTCGCCCTCTACCAACCTCTGAGACCCCAGGCCATGCTGCGGCTCCGTCAGGCGCTGCCGGACACTGGTCTGCAGGCTGGGAGCTGCAAGGAGAGAGAAGAGAGTGTGAGGAAGGGCCACCTGCTCTGGGCTAGCCGGGAAGCAAGTTCGCCTGTGGAGAGATGCTTACTGGAGACCACTCTGGGCCTTCGGTCCCCAGTCTGGAGAATGGGGCACCTCCTCCCAAGAACCTCCCACCAGGGATCCTAAAGGAGGGGCCAGTTGAAAATGAGGTGCCCAGGTCAATTTCAATGGCAATTCCAATGGAAGAAGACCTAGGGCCAACATTGCTAGGAACGGAGATAGTAAGGCAGTTAGTGGGAGGACACAGGCAGGATGGGGTAGGACAGGGGCTTGGGACAAGGTCCGGGAGGGCACAAAGAACCAGCCTTTTTAGAAAGCCAGAGTTGGGAAATATTCACAATTCAGAAAAGGATTTATACATAAATATGTTCATCATACCTTTATTAATAATCATATGAAAGCAAAAATAAAGGTGGAACAACAGGAAAATGATAACACATCCAGTTACTGGAAGGTTATACAGCTATTAAAAATGCTACTTATGAGAATTCCCTGGTGGTCCAGTGGTTAGGACTTGACACTTTCACTGCCAGGACTTGGCTTCAACCCCTGGGAAACTAAGATCCCATAAGACTTGCAGTGCAACCAAAAAAAGTGCTGCTTGAGAAGACTTTTAAAACACAGAAAAAGTCCTATTAAAATGCTCAGCGGAAACAAAAGGATACAGATTTTCATGTACAAGGAATACCTTGAGCAACAGAATACAAAAGACAAGAGTTTGAAACCAGGTCTTTCTATTTCTAGCTGTGACCTTGAGTAACTTACTTCTCTATTTTAATTCCTAATTTATAAAATCCTGCAGAGTTGTTGTTAGGCTTCAAGATAATATTTTTCAAGTACCTGACACAGTTCATGGCACTCAGTAAATGACAGTGGTTATCATTATCTTGACTACATAAAAAATTACTTAAAAATTCACAAACAAAAGACTGCTCAAATATGGTGGGAACTACAGGTGCCTTTTAAAGCCCATATTTACTCTTTTTACTTTCCAAACTTCCTCTAATAAGCATTTACACAACAAAGACCCAGCTCTTGGATCAATGCTGCAAATCAGGCTCTTAGAAGATGGTGGCCACCATGCCCAGAGAAGGGGTATATGGGTACCAGGTAACTTAGAGACATGCTAGAGCATCCCTCTTGCGCTCACTGCCAGCTCCAGTTGAAAATGGAATTCACACCTTTGTTTTTTTCTCCTCTGCCCTGATAGATGGGCCTCCCTGCCTTCTCCCTAAAGATGGGAGAAAGGGCCAGATTACATGGATGGCAGAAGCCTTGGAAGGGCCACCAGGAAGAGAGCACAGTTCCATGGTGATGGAGAGCTAGCGAGGTAGGGCCTCTAAATGGCTGGTGCCTTCAAGACATGAAAGGGCAGCTTAAGGGGAAGAGGAAACGTGAAACAGGGATGGAGAAAGAGATACAGCAGGGGAAGCAGAGAAAGAGAAAGGAGGAGGAGGCTCTCTCATTCCTTCTTTCCATCTCAGCCCAGCCAGATGAAGGGCCACTGGGACATCAGTGGAGCTGGGCTGAAAGGAGAAGCCGAAGATTTCCATCACCACGGCTGTTCCCTCTCCAGGCCTCAGCTGAGCAGGCTGATTCTCCTCACCCCCGAACCCTTCCCTGGAGTTAGTAGGGACTGCAGTGAGGGAACAGAGGGAACAGGCAGGGGAGTGATGCAGTCAGGACAAGGGGCCCGTGGGGTGGGAGTGCTGGTTTAGTCCCCAAAGTCGGAAAAACAAAAGCCCCAAAGGGGCTCCTCAAACCCGGGTATTTCCAGAGGGACTGATCGTCTGAGCCGGCAGATGCTGAGCAGAGAGAGCGGTCACTGAACCTACGCCCCATCAGCCAGGCAGCATCTAGGGTCCAACAACCAGGCCAAAAGGAGAAGAGAATCTGATTCACCGAGGGCTTCACCCTGCCCCCGTGGGGTAAGGGAAGGGCCGGGGGCAAGGGGGGAGTGACTCAGGGCTCATGAAGGTCCCTCCCAACCCGGAGAACACAGGAGTCTTTAGAGCAATACGTCAAAATCAAGTTCTACCTGCTAGTGACCTTAACCTTTTTGGGCCTTTGATGAAAGTCTTGCAAGGCATCAGTCCACAGAAAGAAGAGGCTTGGCCAGAGGCAAACTATGGCTAGAGAAACTTACAAAAACATCCAGCCTGATTAAAGATCTGGCTATCTCAAAGTGAGCCCCTAACCCAGCCCAGCTTTCTGCCATCCCCCCTGCACGCATGGGATATGGGCCCAGGACAAGAGCTTTTCCATAAAAGTCTATTCCGTTTATCTAAAAGAGACTCTGATCCAGAGAAAAACTCAGCGAGTCAGTAGGGGGTGTGTCTCTTCCTTCACTGAAGAATTCCCACAGAGTGCTGTCTCCCTCGACTCTGCTCTACTCAGCTCTCACCACTCACAGGAAGAACGGGGAAAGGGAAGACCCAGGACAGAGGTGGGGGGGCGGGGATGGCCGAGTTCAGATGGAAAGCCAGACATGCTTATGCAGGAGATCCCTCCTGGACAAGAATGTCTTTCTAGCTTGGAGGATTTGGGGCTTTATCACCATAAGGGACTATTGCTTCTGGGGCCCTCACGTGAAAAAACAGAAAGAGACATTGTTTATCTACTTAGCAATTAAAAATTAGGAATATAAAATTAAAACAAGTAAAAGCAACAGTCAAAATGAATGCCATTTTTATGTTATGAATCACTAAAGGAGATTATTTTTATAAAGGTAGATAGGAATGGAAGGGAGGGAAGGAGAATAAAAGGATTAAAAAAACACAAAGAGTGAGGGAGACACACTTAACACAATAGACCCATAGGGCAGATGGAGCATATAGCAAGGGAAAAACCACTAACAGGACAACTATAAAGGAATACCTTGATGCAGGTTGTGCTTTATGAACAAAGGTAACGAGTTAAACCATCTTGGCTTCTGCCATATATCTGGCTTAAGCACGGCAGAGACCAGCAGACTTCTCAATCTGCACATCAAAGCCCCCTTCCCTCATCCCTATCCAAGAGGTCACCTACACTGCATGGACAAGGGTGATACAATCTCCTCATCCATGTCATCCACGTCGTCGGTCATGATGAAGTGGGCGGGGTTGGGACGCGTACTACCCATCCAGCTGGGGTCTATGTTGAGGGCAGCCACCAGGGAATGGATGCCAGGGTTATTGACAATCTGGAAGCCACAGAGGATCTCAATCTGTTGCCAGCGGTGCAGACGCTCCCTCAGTGCTGCTGTCACCTCGCTCAGAGCTTGCCTGAAGACAGAAGAAAGAAAATGGAAGGCATGGGCTGGGCCTAAGCCCCAGGAAAAAGGAGTCATCTTCTCAGAGGAACAAGTTGCAGGGGCAGGGTCAGAGGAGGGGGGCGGCGGGGCGGTATGTGTATGTAAGAAGCACACTTAAATCATAGACTTAAGAGCAGTGTGGGAGGTAGTTAAGGGCTGAGGCAGGAGACCAGAGCTGTACCTCTTCCAGTGAAGAAACAGAATCGGGACTGGAGGCCCTGGACACCCTCCAACTCTGAGGATGGGATGGACATCGCCAGAGCTGGGCAGCAGGTGTGACTTACTTAGCTGTTAAGATTTTGTGATCCACATCATCCAGGGAAGAGCTGTGGGCCACGTGGAAGGTGCCAAAGAGTGTGTTTCTCTTCTTTTTTATCTTCTCAGCCTGCAAAGATGAGGCCCTCAGCTTAAAAAGAGCAGGGAGTAGAGGTTGGAAAAATGAAAAACATTATTTTGTGGCTGGCTCCCCCTCCTGCTAGCACAGTTTAGGCGGCATGAGAAAAAGAGAATATGGGAAAGAAAAATGGAAGCCAGTGGGAGAGGAAAGAGTAGGGAAAGAAAGAAAACAAGCAATGAGAAGAGCCAAGGGATCCTGACTCTAGGAGGAGTCTGTCCCTGTGTCAGTCTGGGCTGGCAGAGACTTCCCTCTACCTGCCTCCACTTCATCTTTCCCAGAAGGCAGGTGGGAGTAGCCCTGCACCCTAGTTCCCTTCTCCAGAAGCTTGAGGACATTATTAGAAACTGTGCATCAGGAAAAGAAACAAAACCCAACACCAGAATGTCTCTTTGTCCAACAGAGGGATATAGAGAGGCAGAGAAGAGGAAAAGGGGCAAGTGAAGGGGGTGAGGCAAGGAGAAGAGAAGAGTGCAGCAAGAGGGCACATCTCACCCCCTCCTTGGCCACCAGCAGCTGCTTCTCGGCATTTTGCTTCTTGATGTTGTAGTACTGCACCTCCACCTCATGGGTCAGCTGCAGCCACTTCTGAAGGGCCTCTGGAGCATACCAGGAGCTATGCGATTCCAGCTCCTTCTCTGCTTTCCTCAAGGCCTCCCGTACCTGTGAGCCAAGAGGATATGAGACCTTACTATTAGCAAGGCCTTCTCCAATGCCTCCATATGATACATCAGCCTTCTTTTCTTCCATCTCATCTGAGCTTCACCACTCTCACAAGAGGGAGAAAGGGCAAGGATTATTTTCTGTATTTTATATATAAGAAACCAAGCTTGGAGAAGGAAAGTAACCTACTCAAGATCAACATATTTAGTAGTGTCAACCAGAAGTCAAATGGAGACTTTTTTTTCTTTCTTTTATTTACTTATTTATTTTTTGCTGCCAGACTAGAGGATTCTTTTCTCACATGTTAGTCACTTCTCCTGGTCATACAGCCAATCTCAGCAATTTTCCCTGCTCTCATGAGGTACAGGTTATCTCAGTGAATCCTCTTCTTTCTGAGAGCTGGGGTCTATTCTTGGACCCAAGCCCTCACAATGTGGCAAGAAAAGCACCTGGGTGGGAGTCTGGAAATCTGACCTGGTCCCTGGTCTGTCACTCAACTGGCTGTGTGACCATGTGCTTCCTAAAGCAGCTCTCGCTCGGTGTAAGGCCTTGTCCCAGGCAAATCCAAACTGTAAGCAAAGTGATGATCTCAGGAAAGAGTGAGCTCCCTATCCTGAGAGGTATAGAAAGAGCTCATGTCAGAAAGACCTTCAAAATGATTGCTACTCCAGGGGGCAACTGGCCTGAATACTCTCCAAAGGCTCTTCTAGCCCAGAGACTTTGTGATTCCCTCATTGATCAGGGTGGGTAGGCTGTAATGGGCACTCTCTACGGGCAAGAAAACAACAAGCAAGCTTACACCTAACATGGGTATTGCCAACAGAGGCCAAGAAAGGGCCAATGTATAAGCAGACATCTCCTCACTGACCTCTAAGCAAGGAGCATAAAATGAAGCAGATGGCCACAAAGCACTTAAATATGAAAGGTCTGGAAAGTATTGTATATACAGAACCCATTATATATGCTAAATTCCTTCTATCTCACCCAGGCTACCAGTATAAACAATCCCCAGCTCCCCCATCTGAACACTGACTTTTCACTGTTCAGAATTCCAGAGAAAGAGGATTGAGAGCAGTCTAATGTCCAACTTTAGCCCATGGGGAAGCATCCCACAGCAAGGTCTGGGGTCCTCCCCTGAGCCTAATATAGACCAGGAGGGCCTTAGCTAAGGACAAAAAACCTTCATTCCTCTGAGAGCCTGTGAGAGGACCAAGTTTCACTGGATTTTTGTTCCTTGAAAAGGAAACTAGAAAACAGCCCACTCCTGGCTTTACAGATTTAAAATGAGGAACAGACACCTTAGCGACTAACACACTGAGCCTGGAAATGTAGAATCAAGTTCCACATTAAAAGCAGTTGAAGGACTGGGATCAGCTAAGGGGAGAATGGAGAGAGAAGAGAGAGCAAGCAGAAGGAAGTAAGACAGTTGTGGAGGCACATGGAAGGGCTGGTCAAACAGGCTCAAAAACTGTGTAATGAGAGGAACAATTACAAAACAGGGAACAGGGGGATCACAGGTAGAGAGAGAGAGACAGACACATCCATTTTCTTTATTGAGCATTTACTGCACTCTGGGGCTATGCCAGAGAATAGGCCAAAGAGTGGAATAAAATCTCCCATAATGTCACAATGCTTAGGAGACAAGGCATTGCAAGAAAGAAGGGATCTGCCTCAAGCACACAGTCAGTCTTCTCCTCAAGAGAGCTGCAAAACTTTAAAGTTATGAGGAGTAGGAGGCCAAAGAGCTAACTTAAAAATGTCCAAGGGGCAGAAATGAATCTCATAGTCATTCAGGACTGGGGAAAAATAAATTCACCAGATCTCAATAAAAAGTCAGGAAGCGGAATGCTGAGAAACAGGGACAAATGAGGCTTGGACCAACTCTTACTAAACTATAACCCAGTTCCAACACATTTCAGTCTCTCACTGGCTTGAGATGACCAGATCCTCACCCAGCATACCTAACTAAACCCTGTATCTGATAGAAGATGAAAATCATCTGTGGCCTCTATTATTCTTTATGCACACTATCCAGCATTTACTAAATTACTAGACATGAAGAGAGGCAGGCAAATAGAAGTAATAATCGAGAAGAAAAACAAGCAGTCCCACAAATGATCCAGATGTGAAGAGTTACCTGTCAAGGACTTTAAGACAACTATGACTAAAATGTTAAAGAAAAATATGGGAAAATTCTGGACAGGGAACAAAATCAATAAAAGAATAAAATGGGCATTCTAGAAAAATACATTATCTGAGAGTAGGATTCCACTGTATGAGCTAAATACCACAATGTTCTTGGCAAAATATAGGATTAGGGAACTCAAAGACAGATTAATATAAAATAACCAAACCAAAGCACAGAGGGAGGAAAAAAAGAACAGAACTAAGCATAAGAGACACGTGGAATAGAGTTAAAAGGTCCAGCATAAATACTGGATACCCAGAGGGAGAGGCGAGACTGGAGCAGAAGCAACATGCAAACACCACAGTGAATGTGTCTTCTGCAGTTGCTGGGTAAATGCTCCGTATGTAGTGATGAGGTCACACTGATCAATCATGTTTAAATTTTTATATCCTTACTGATACTTTTGGCTGCTTATTTTTGGGAGAGGGATGCTAAAAATCTCTAACTTTGATTATGAATTTGTCTATTATCCTTTTAGTTTTTTTAAATTTTTGCTTTATACACACACACACACACACACACACATATACACACACATATATTTTAAACTATATTATTAGGTGTATCCAAATTAAAGGTTGTTATATATTACTGTTTAATTCACACATTTATCTTATATGAAATGTCCATTTTTATCTCTAGTAATACTTTTTTCTCTAAGTCTATTTTGTCTGACATTAACATAGCTACCCCTGCTTCATTTTCCTTAGTGTTTATCATATATTAATATCTTTTCTCATATTTTTACTTTTAACCATTTTGTATCCTTATTTCTAAAGCATGTCTGTTGTAAACAGCATATAGTTGGGTTTTGTTTTTTATCCAGTCTGACATTCTTTGCCTTTTAGTTGTTTTCTGTAGTCTGCTTACATCATCCAAGTTTCAACATATTTGAAAGGACTAGAACCTGTGGTCAAAGCACATGTTCTTTGAACACAGCAAAGTTATACTGGAAATCAATGAGAAAGATAAACAGAAAAGTCCCCAAGTGTTTGACAATTAGGCAATACACTTTTAAATAACCATGGGTCAAAAAGAAATCACAGTGGAAGTTAGGAAATGTTTTTAACTGAATCCCAATTTTTTTAAATTAGAAGATTCCCAAATAAAGTCATCAATAAATTTATGAAAAGGTATTCAATATTACTGGTTAATAAGAAAATTAAAATCACAATAAGATACCATTACATCCATATCATAATGTATAAAATGAAAATGCCTAAAAATACTGAGGCTGTAGCTCAACTAGAACTCTCATACTATCACTAGTGGCAGTACAGATTGGTACAATCATTTTGGAAAATCGCCAATTTCTTAAAACTAAATATATGAATCCCTGTTACATATCCAAAAGAAATAAGTGATGCCCACAAAGAAGTTTGAAAAAAAAAAAAAACAAACTTGCAAACAACCCAAAGGTCTATCAGTAGGAGAATGGATGATATCCATACAATGGATTGACACTCAGCAATAGAAATAAACTCATTATCACTAAATGCAATAACATGGTTGCCTCTCACAGACATAATGTTCAATGAAAGAAACCAAACACAAAAGAATACATACTGTATAATGCTATTTACATGATGTTAAAAATCAGGTGAAACTAATCTGGTCTAGAGGTTACGACTGTAGCTGCATTTTGGGTGGAGCATTGACAGGGAGAAAAGGGAAGCAGAAGTGAGCCCTCTGAGTGCTTAGGAGATCCTGTACCTTGATGTGGATGGTGGTTACACAGGTACCTGCGTATGTACAGCATGCCAGCTGTATGCTTACGATCTGATTATGTTAATACCTCAACTAGAAAGGGACAGAATAACTGATCACCTGTTATTCACTGTGCTTTCACAACCGCAGTGATCATTTTTGCAACTTTCCCACTACTCTTGGCCAGACCTTTGGCTCCTGCCCTTTGACCCCAGCCCCTCGGGATGTCCAGGAATTTGTAGACACTCCTACCTGCTCCAACTCCTCCTCGGCATATTTCTGGCGGCTCCGCTCATTCTCCGTTCCCTCCCGCAGCTCCTTCAGCCTCTGGGCTTCCTGCTTGGCAAGGTTGATCTCGTCGCGCAGCTTCTTCTCCAGGTGCACCTTTTCCACCTCCACCGTGCGGTGCTCCTCCTGGGCTTTGTGCAGCCTGCAGACAATGCCGGGAGCTGGAGAAGGCCAGGCAAGGCAGTGCCAGCCAACTTGCCCCGAGGCACGGCATCCAAGAGGAAGATGAAGCCTCCAGCACTCAAAATATGTTCTCCCTACTCTGCCACCTGCCTGGCCCTGATGAGGCAGCTCAGGACCAACAGAAACCATGCCATTACCCTACTTATTTGGACCATCATTCTGCTTCCAGTAACAAAGGCTGTGAAGCCAAGGTTCCAGGGTATCTGAATCCTTCCTTCTAAGGTGTCAGGGAGACAGTGAAGGACAAGAGAGCCTGGTGTGCTGCATTCCATGGGGTCGCAAAGAGTCAGACACAACTTACTGATTGAACAACAACAAGATGTCTCACATACTCAGATCATAACAACTACTAGTTTACAAGGTCTTCCACATTTGTCCTCCCTGCAAATAATGATATATTGTACAATTATCAGCCTGGGACAGGTATGGACACAAAGGCTTAGGAAAGGGAACAAACGGCAGACAGAATTGAGACCAGAATTCTAATCTTTATGTGTTCAAACTGAACAGTTAGTACCTTTATACCAAGGTATCTGGAAGGTGCAATCAATGTAGAATACCCTGCAACCTAGACCAAAGACCCAGGGAAAGCCTGATGGTGAAATATGCTGGGGGTGATGGTCATGGGGAGATTTAAGGAAGATGAGAAGGGAACTATTGAGCTGTACCTCTTGGACTCCTGAATACCTAAATCCCAAAAGCACAGAAACAGGAAATTCATGCCAAAGGGGCTGGGGAGGATTTGGGGGAGCCCCTCATGCCCAACCTTAAGTTCCCTTCCTAAACACACTCCTTCTCAAGGACATCACTTATAATGAAAATATGCCCTTGGACCCACCCACACATTCCCTCTGTTTACTGACAAAATCCTTCATCCATCCAGCTAAGCTTCCTTCCTTCTTCCCTTTCTTTGCACTACACATCTATGTTTATTCATTCATTCATTTACCTATTCCTTCACCTAGTACTTTAAGGTGTCTACTAAATGCCAAGCCCTGTGTGACTCCTAGATATATGGAGATGAGTGAGAAGACTGTCCCTGCCACTGAGGTGCTCATGGCCTAGTCCAATATAGACAAGTAAACAGATAGGTGCACACAGTGTGATAAGTTCTATAATACAGAAATAAAGTGTTGGGTAGGCCCAAAGGATGGGGTGATCAACTCTGCCTGAAAGAAGTAGGGGAAGGTGAGGCCTGGGTTAGACCCAGAAGAAAGAATAAGCATTAGCTGATCCCTCTGGAAGAGGGAAACGACTTAGCTACTGTCCAGTCTTCCTCCCTTAGTAGGAAGCACTATGTTACAGGATAAGAGGGGAAAGGAAGAGGAAGGAAACATGTGATATATGGCTTAGACTTGAGGTACAGACGGGGGAGGACAGGCTGCAGAACACATAGGGACCACAGAAAAGAGCACTGACCACTGAGTTAATTAAGCAGGTAAATGAAGAGACAGAAACAGAACTGAACCTCTAAAAAAAATCCCAAGTCCAGATTTTTCAATGACTAAAGCCTCAAAAGATGTGGTGACAAGTAAGGAGGAGAGGAAAAATGCCTAAGCTGCAAGCTTTCTGCTGACAAATTGCAGCCTTCTGTGTACTTTGTCCCTGGAGTGAAAAGGAATTGAGCCTCAAGGCACTCAGCAGGTGGCGCTATGTGCACAGCTAAAATCAAGGCAGGGCGCCATTTCCAGCACAATCTCCTTGCCCCGAGTATCCTCCTTTATTGCACTCTCCCATGACTCAACTGCTTGAAATTAGGGATTCAGTTCTTCACTGAAACATTATCCTCTCTGAAAGCAGCCTCTTCTGAAAAGTCTATGATATGCCTGTCTTCTTCATACAATAGGGAGTTCTTTTAAAGTAGAATCAAAACTGATCCACTTTGGATGTAATAGAGATGAAGATCGATAAATACTACTGGGTGAAGAAATGAGCTAATAAATGTACAATCAAGCCTGGGCCCACCCCATCTCCTTCACAGAAGACTGAGCATCTTGAAGGCAGCAATCAGTTACCATCACAAGTAAGGAAAGCAGGCAGTCTGACCACAGCTCGGCTCTACGCAGCTGTGTGACTGTGGACAAGTCTGTTCCTTGGACCAGGTCTGTTTCTTCCTTTTTAAGTGGGACTCAAAATTCCTGCCTGCCTTAAAGAATTATCTTGAAACCCAGTGAAATCCTAACTGGAATGCACATGTAGCATTACATTTATTCACCTAAAGCATCAGGAACTCTGGAAAAAGCTCTTTGGTGACTGGCAGTGAGGTCTGCCAAAGTAAGGAGGCACAAAGAGGCACGTGGGCCCTTGTGTCAGAGCAGGATATGTGTGTGCACAGGTGTGAGCCTGTCTCAGGTTGGGAGGGGTGTGCATTCGTTTCTCAAAGTGCCACAGTAGCCAGTTAGCTCTGGAGGCCTTGGGGAGCAGGGAGGGCTGGGAGTTTAGTTTTATCCCCAAACTTGGAATGCCTCCTGCCTAGATTCTTTGCCTTTGGAATGAAAACAGTACATGTTTTTCAGACAAATGAAGAATGGGGACTGCCCACATAGCAGCATTTAGCCCCCAGTTGGAAAAGGGCCCAGGAACAAGGGGCCCAGCAAAGTAGCCAGGAATCAGCTCAAAGATAAAACTCCTCTTGCTTCCTAAAAGCCCATGGAAACGAATCTGCTAGGGCTGCCTTTACTGAGGCAGCACCCTGTAGTTAAAGAAATTCCTAACTTACTACTTACTGACATTCACCCTCTCTGAGGCTTCATTTCTTCAACTCTAAAATTGGGATAATAATACCTACTTAAGAGGGTTGTGGTGATTACAAACAATAATGCTTAAATGTACTTAACAATATCCAGTTCTGAAGAAACCATTTCCCCATCCCTCCAAAGAAAATAGTATCTATCATTTAAAAATAACAGAAAAGAGACAGACTTCACTTCCTTTTACATGGATTCCTGCAAAGACGTCCCAACAGGAGTCCCTAGGCTGTCAGAATCATTTTCTGACAAACACTCCTGAAGCTGGCCTCTCCTTTTCTCAAAACAAAAACAAAGCAAAAAAGTCAAATACCCACATTGATTCTCTATTGCCTTTTGCATCCTACTAACTTTTCCATGTGAGTCCGAAGGTACCAGGGATCTGGCCTCACTCTATACACTCAACGACAACTACCAGGTTAATCTTTCCTACCCATCTTTCAAGGCCACCTCCTCAGACTCCATATCCACTTGTCTCCTGCCTCTGTGCCGTTCCAGTCCTTGGAGCTCTCTTGCCACAGGCTGGCACTGAGTCACTGCTCCTTCTTAAGTGTGTGCTCTGTGGCCCAGGAGCAGTGACTTCCTTCCAATTCCTCACACAGACCTGGTTCCTAGAAGTCAGAAAGTACTTAGGTCAGCTGGCTGACTGTCACCTTCCCTTCATAGCTAGATCTTCTACAATAGTTTCTAAGCCATGCTTTATTCAAACAGAACCTCAGACTATCAGAGCTAAAATGTCCTGGTCTGCTCCTAGTTCAACTCCTTTACATTACTAATGAGGAAATATGTTCCAGAAAGGAAAGGGATTTACCCAGTCATACAACAGTGGGTGCTTCCCAGGTGGTGCTAGTGGTAAAGAATCCGCCTGCCAACACAGGAGATGCAAGAGACATGGGTTCAATCCCTGGGCTGGGAAGATCCCCTGGAATAGCAAATGGCAGCCCATTCCAGAATTCTTGCCTGGAAGATTCCATGGGCAGAGGAGTCTGGCAGGTTACAGTCCATGGGCTGCGAAGAGTCAGACTGAGCACAGCACACATACAAGTGAGTACTCATGAGATTCAGATGCCATACAAGACAGGAAGACAGGTTTGTGAGGTTTCTTTGGGAAACAGGGAAGGATAGTTAATTATGTCTACTTCTATGGAAAGGGAAGCACTCAAGAGGTGGGATGGAGGATGGAATGACCCCACACAAGCCATCCAACCAGGGAAGCTCAAGACCTTCCAGCAGTTCCACACTTCTCCCTCTGAAGCTCCGGGGAGAAAGGATAGAAATAAGCTTCTGCTCTGGGGAGGAATACTTGCCTGTGTGACTGGAATGGCAGGAACCTAGGCTCCGATGCAGGTTTGGGAGGATGACACAGCCTGGACCACCATGTCAGCAGGGTCTTGGGAGCCAGGCAGCCCACCTCTCAGGTGGAAACTGGAGGCTCCCAAGAGCTGGCAGCACCAGGGTCAGGGGAAGGGACAGGGCCTTACCTTTCCTGAAGGTCATGCAGACTTTGCTCAGCTCGGTGTAAGCCCTCCAGGTCCTTCATCATCTTCTTCATGTGCTCCTTGGAGTAACGGTTCTGGATATAGGCAAACCAGCAGCCACCCACACCAATAACGATAGACACCACCAGCATGAAGTCCTTGAGGTGGTTATGGCGGGTCACTGCCAGAGAGGAAGGGCACAGTGAGTCAGGGTGCCCACTGCCTGCTCAGCCTCGCACACTCTGTGTGCCCCCTCCTCCATAAAGCCTTCCCACTCAGGAGGAATTGGTTTCTCTTCTTAGACACACACTCGCCACACTCTGCTTATTTCTCTGCTAAGTCAAGGCCTAGTTTGGAAAGGATGAGAGGCCTTAGAGCAATACAGGAAGCTCACTGGATCACACTTCCCTAACGTGCAGTGAAGAGAACTAGTGCCTTCGCAGTACATCCCAGCCATTCTGGGCTGTGGTGGGCCCATGTGCCCAGATGCAGTGGCTTCTACCCTACAGGGTAAGAAACACTAGAATACTACAGAATTCTAGTACAGTATTCTAGTAGGCAGAAGGGGGGTGGTGGGTAAGGGTACAAGCAAAGTCACTAGAGCCTGAGGATTGGCTGTGGGGCTGAGGTTACTGCAGGACCTGGGCCTCCCAGACCATGAGGCTATTCTAGGTGCAAGGTACAAAGACTAGATCATATAGAGGTCTGCAAGTCTCATCTACAGAGAGCATTTCTATCTAGGCTGTGGTTCAACCAGAGACCAGGTAGAACGGGAGTAGCATCAGGATGTTTGGGAACAGAGAGACAGGTCTACCTCCAGAGAACACCTGGGAGCTATTGGTGAAGTGCCACGGCCCTGTCCACCAGCTGGGGTTCAAAGCAATGCTTTGCTCTGGAGAGAGCAAAACTGAAAAGCTAAACAAGGAATAACATCAGAAGATAAGAACAAACGCCATGTCCCAAGAACTGAGCTGACCAGAAGAGGGGTAGTCCTGGAGCCTGAGACTGGTCCCCAGTGTGCCAGACCTAGGCTCTGGGCCACAGCACAGAAGACTGAAAGAGATACCAGGAGGGAGAGAGGCTGCTATTTTATGCCCTGCCTGCATTGTACTCCACTAGAAATAGAGCAGCGATGGCTAAGGAAAGCCCCAGACAAGGGGAAAGAGGTAATGACCTCTGTGCACAGTGGGTCACCTGGTGTTGCGGAAGGGGTGGGGGTACTGACAGGATCTCACTGCCCAGTAAGGGGCTGAGGGGGACCCAAAAGGACCCAGCAGAGCCACCAAGTTGGGGCAGGGTATAGACAGACAGCAGGAAAAGACACACATGGCTGAAATTCCACCTTATGAAGCTGATGCCCACTTTGACAAAAAGGGTTATATTCACAGCTCCTCATTGAAAGGCTGAGCAATAGGACATGGGGATGGTGTGAAATCAAGGACAGATTAGCACATGCTATTTCCATCCACGAGAGGGGAGTTACTAGGTCCAGGGTGTAGCCATGTCCGTCACATGTCTATGCCAGACTACACAGAGGAACTGGTGGCTTCCTTGGTGGCTCAGATGGTAAAGAATCTGCCTGCAATGCAGGAGACGAGGTTCGATCCCTGGGTCAAGAAGATTCCCTGCAGAAGGGAATGACAACCCACTCTAGGATTCTTGCCGGGAGAATCCCATGGATAGAGGAGACTGGTGGGCCACAGTCCAAGAGGTCGCAAAGAGTCGGACATGACTGAGCGACTAGCACCTTCACAGAGCAACTGAGGACCCTCCAGCAGCCACCCTCCAGCTTCCTGGCAGGTCTGCACTTACAGCCATGCTCACATCTCCACTCCCCTGTCCTTAGATCACAAGAAGCAATATCTCTGCAGTATAGTGAGTTGCCTTCCTTTCTGAAACACACCTACCTCCTATCCAGCCTCTACCACAGGCTAGGGTACTCTTTGTCTCCCCTGTTTATTAAGGACTTTTCATCTTGGATTCCCAGGGTTTCTCACCTCCAACATCCCCAACATTCCTATCCAAAGTCAAAGGTACTACGTTCCAACAATTCTTCATCGGACTAGCACCCTCCCCCTATTGCCTCCAACACTTCAAAGCCCTTGAGGTGGGCATACAGATCAGGCGCCAATCAATTCTGCTCAGTTCCTTATTCTACCTTGTCCAGATTAATTTGAAACACGATCCTATTTTTTTCCAGCTTCATGGTCTCATCCAGCTCATGAATAAAAATATTGAATTACCAGGGACAAGGATAGGATCTATCCATCACCCCCTCTTCTAAGGTAACACTGTTCCACCTATCAGTACCCTCTGGATCTCTTCAGTGAGTTTTGACTTCATTTAAAATACATAAGCATTCATCCCCTATATCCTTCTGCCTTGTCAGTTGCATAGCTGAAACTCAGACATGCTATCTGTCAACAGCCTGTGGGCTACCAAGCTTAGTGGGAAGAAAATGAGTCTAATCTGGTTGATTTATTCTGTGGCCCCTACCAATCATCACTTCTCTGTAGGCCAGTGCCAACCACAGCACTGACCACACATAGAAGTCACTCAATAAATATTTACGGGGTTTAATCTTCACTGAAAAAGCCTTAAGTGTGATATTTCCCTGTCTTTAATCCACATAAGAAGGAATTTTTTTTTATTTTAAAAAAGAAGGGAACTGGGTGGAGAGGGAGGTGGGAGGGGGGATCGGGATGGGGAATACATGTAAATCCATGGCTGATTCATGTCAATGTATGGCAAAAACCACTAAAAAAAAGGGGGAAATAGACAAAACATAAAATGTATCAGGTATTTACATTAACATTTCAAATTCTCCCAACTAATCTATACAGTAGAGTATTCCCATGTTGTAGACCAGAAAAGTGAGGTTCCATAAAGGCACTGACTTGTCAGAGTCCATGAAAATTGACAGAGCTGGAATTCAAATCCAGATTTGTTTGACTGCATGGTCTTTCTACTACACCCCACTTTCTCATACTCATGCAGCAGGTATTGTTTCTGCTTTATTACATGCAAACATGTCTCACCAGGGGATATCTATACCCCCTGATCTACCCCGAGTGCAACTATAAGAATTCCACGGCCTAAGGTTCCCCCCTCAACCCGCTGGGAACTGACTGTGGCACTGCCATCAGAGAGTGAAGATCCAAAGGCTGAATGGCCAGGCCTTTGAGGTTAAACATAAGGTCTCATGTAGAGAAATTCTTATTTCAACAAAGGAAGCATCTTGCACGAAGTATTAGGAAGTTTGAGTTCTATCCTTGCCTTTGCCCCAATTTGCTATGAAATTCACTTCCCCTATCTCGGTCTCAGCTTCCTCAGCTGTAAAATGCATTATCACAGAATTGCTAAAAGATTAAATGCCTAGCTGTAAATGAAAGTACTTTGAGGTGTTCAGAGAAATAGATGCGAGAATTGTCAGTTCCCTTCAGTGGGATCCACAGTCCTAGTTCAGTTCAGTTCAGTCATTCAGTAGTGTCCAACTCTTTGTGACCCCATGGACTGTAGCATACCAGGCCTCCCTGTCCATCGCCAACTCCCAGAGTTTACTCAGACTCATGTCCATTGAGTCGGTGATGCCATCCAACCATCTCATCCTCAGTCGTCCCCTTCTCCTCCTGCCGTCAATCTTTCCCAACATCAAGGTCTTTTCAAATGACTCAGTTCTTCACATCAGGTAGCCAAAGTATTGGAGCTTCAGCGTCAGTCCTTCCGATGAATATTCAGGACTGACTTCCTTTAGGATGGACTCGTTGGATCTCCTTGCAGTTCAAGGGACTCTCAAGAGTCTTCTCCAATACCACAGTTCAAAAGCATCAATTCTTTGGCATTCAGCTTTCTTTATAGTCCAACTCTCACATCCATATATGACTACTGGAAAAACCACAGCTTTGACTAGATGGACCTTTGTTGGCAAAATAATGTCTCTGCTTTTTAATATGCTATCTAGGTTGGTCATAACTTTTCTTCCAAGGAGCAAGCGTCTTTTAATTTCATGGCTACAGTCACCATCTGCACTGACTTTGGAGCCCCCCAAAATAAAGTCTCTCACTGCTTCCACTATTTCCGCATCTATTTGCAGTGATGGGACCAGCTGCCATGATCTTAGTTTTCTGAATGTTGAGTTTTAAGCCAACTTTTTCACTCTCCTCTTTCACTTTCATCAAGAGGCTCTCTAGCTCTTCTTCACTTTCTGCCATAAGGGTGGTGTCATCTGCATATCTGAGGTGATTGATATTTCTCCCGGCAATCTTGATTCCAGCTTGTGCTTCTTTCAGCTCAGCGTTTCTCATGATGTACTCTGCATAGAAGTTAAATAAGCAGGGAGACAATATACAGCCTCGACGTACTCCTTTCCCGATTTGGAACCAGTCTGTTGTTCCATATCCACTTCTAACTGTTGCTTCCTGACCTGCATACAGATTTCTCAAGAGGCAGGTCAGGTGGTCTGGTATTCCCATCTCTTTAAGAATTTTCCAGAGTTTGTTGTAGTCCACATAGTCAAAGGCTTTGTTATAGTCAATAAAGCAAAAGTAGATATTTTTCTGGAACTCTCTTGCTTTTTTGATGATCCAACAAATGTTGGCAATTTGATCTCTGGTTCCTCTGCCTTTCCTAAATCCAGCTTGAACATCTGGAAGTTCACGGTTCACATACTGTTGAAGCCTGGCTTGGAGAATTTTGAGTTCTAATGGTTAACTCTATGTGTCACCTTGACTGGGCTAAGGGGTGTCTGGATAGATGGTAAAGAATTATTTCTGGGTGTGTCTTTGGGGTTGTCTTCATATGAGATTAATATTTGAATCAGTTAAGAAGGTCATCTTCATTAATGAGACTGGGCATCAACCAATTGTCTACATGCACTAAGGGTCTGAACAGAACCAAAAGGCAGAGGAAGGACAAATATGCTCTCCAGCTTGAGTTTACACATCCATTGTCCTCTGCCCACCTCCATCAGCACTCTCGGCTCTTGGTCTTCAGACTCACAGGGATTCACACCATCAGCTTCCCTGGTCCTCAGCCTGCAGACTCAGACTGAATTACAACCCCCACCTTTCCTGGGTTCCAGCTTATATATGGAAGACTGTGGGACTAGCATGAATCCATTTTCATAATAAATCTCCTCATATATATATCTATATACATATCCTATTGGTTCTGTTTCTCTGG